ATGGATAGCGAGCCAGGTTCGTTAGGAGAGTGATCCTGTGTTGGTCGCGATGCCTTAACGAGCATTGCTTGCTAGGTTGATTTCAGTGAGCAATGCGAGTTAAGTCATCGAAATTGACATGAGTATGACTGTGCTAAAGATCTAATAGATCTAACTCGTGTCATCATTCTTCGTGACACCCTTTAGATACTTTTGATCTTTAGGATGGGGCCGGTATGACGACCCCGTCAAAGTCATACTATACTCAGACACCCCTCACTTATATACTAGGTCGATGCATTTTCTCGGTAGATGGCGTGTTAGGCTAGGATTTAGGGTGCTAGATAGTCTTTGATGCCTGGCTACTGTTCTCTATTGGATTGGTTGCCCTAGCCAGGTAACTTTCTTTCGCATTATGCTTGTGATGTGATTGCGTGATGCATATGTGTGGTAGTATATTAGGGCGTTCTTCTGCAGGGAGCCATGTCTATTTTCATACACACACACAGGTACCGCCATGGGGGGAGCAAGTAATGATTTCTGACTCTTTTGCTTGCAGGTGCTATTAGCTCCCCCCACTTTTGAGGCATGGCTCACGATACATTATGTGCATGTGAGTTTTCCCGCTGACCTTTGTTTTCATGCAGGATTGAGTTTATTTTCTCTGTGTATTTTTTTAGAGTCTAGGAGAGTCCTGTAGCAGAAATAAGATACGGGCATGGGTTCTGAGTCGTTAACACGGGAACTATGTGGAGGGGACCAGGAGCAAATGCTCGTGCCCCGTATCTTAATTCTGTATTTTATATTGATGTATAGAATTAGGATCGGGCATGTATATGCGGAGTCCGACCGCACTTTTCTTTTCTGGGATATGCTGCCGACCCAGCGGCACCCGTCTGTTTATTATTTTGGTTTGACTTGTTTTGCTTTATTCTTTACATCATGTTGCTGCACTTGTATGTGTTTTTTTTGTTTCTTTCTGTGATTTATCTGGGATTTCACGATATAACATAGGCTCATTAAGGGCCCTAAAATTGTAATTTTCTACAAAATCCTAAATAAAATATTCAAGATAATTATGATTTAGGATTAAAATATTCAGGATCTAAAAATTGCAACTTTTACTTTCCTGCATATATTAATAGGGCCTCCACAATACTTAGGATCATTCTAAATAACTGCATTCATCTTTGCATGTCCCGATGAGGAGTCCCCGTACTTTTCCAACCTGACTGGCTCAGCATACCTTCATATAGGTGGTTGTCTAGTGCGCCTAGGGTGTTAGAAGGCTCCCCGACCCAGACGGGGGGTAAGTCCTTTTGTTGGAGCGTTTCCAGCTTTGTTGCTGAACCTTCTTTTCTGAGGCGTCCTAGCTATTTCAGCAGGTATAAGTCCCACCCCTTGAAGCTCCAGCTTGTAGTCATAGGATAGAGTTTCTTTCCTTTGACCTTAGGACTACCGAGGTTCCCGTGGATGATGCAATTCACGGATTGCTGACCGGGAATTTCAGGACGTGTTGGGTTGACTACCTTCACGACCAGGTATACTTAGGGCTCTAGAAGTTGTGTATGACGTGGTACCCCGACCCAGTTACCTCTATCTTTTAAGATCACTCTACCTACTTTTTGCTGAGCCCATTTGAGCCCTATCGCTCCTTGACCTCGTTGATATCACCTTGACGGCCCGATGCCGATGAGCTGCCACCCATTTGGGATACGACGATTTGTCCTCTGCCCTTTGGCTCGGACGTGCTTTGACGTATTGGGATATCCCCGTCAAGATGATTTAGGTTATTCTGTGGGCCTCATGTGCCGATGAGCCGCTACCTATTTCGGGATGTGAGAGACTCACTCTCTGCCCGATGACTTAGTACGAGCTTTGAAGTATTGGGACTGTTCCCACACGAAATAACTTTCCTTTGATTGCCTATACCCCAGATCTATGATAATATGAAGCGAAACTCCTTTTATCGAGAGTATTCTTGGGTATCCCCCAAGATGTAATTAACCAGTAGGAACACGTTCCTCTGGGAGTGCTCTTGACCCCAGAACAGGTACATACACCTGACTCTCTGGTTATGGGTAGTCTATGTAGATACTTTTTTCGCGGATATTGGTTTAAGGTGCCTCTACCCAATCTTGTTTGGGCGGATATTCTTAACCTATCCTTGCGAGGTTTATCGCACGTAGACTCTCCACGTTTTACTTTTTCTCTTGTTTGTCTCTTTGTCGTATGTCTCTTCTTATTTGATTCCTCTCCTCTTCGAATCATTTATATGATTTGGGAGGGAGATTTATTCGAATAGGGGAATTATACGACGATCGACAAGCTGGCGACTCCTCTTTAAAATAAAAAAGAGAAAAATAAACGGAAACATGTCAGTGGTTTATGACCTGAGATAAAGTCGTGAGAAACATGTGAAACATGGAGTAAATTTAGGGGAAACTTACTGGTTGCATTGGGAAGAAGACCTTGTTTAGCATTCAAGATAAGAAGGGGCCATCACCGCGGACTGCCTACTAGGCATCGTGGTAAGATTTAGAGTGTTAGAGAGGGGTTTGTTCAAAGATGAGATGAGCGCAGTAACAAAGTTATGTTACCGTTCATTCGCTGATGTGGGCGGTCAAACAAAGAGGGATTGAGGATTGTTGCTATGTGTTGTGGTAATTGAGGTTGATATGAAACAGATACTTACTGATAAATAAGACGGGTCAATCCATAATTGACATTCATATGTCAAAATCGGATGTTAGTTATCCCTGTGGCAAATGCTTTGCAGTCACAATTGCTGATATGTATTTTAGTTGATATGACCAAGCCAAATGTCAGATTGAAGGAATTGGGCTTGGCCACTGCCCTTGGTTGCTACTAGTACCACGGGATGATCTGGTCCTTGCAAGATTTGGAGGTCTCATGATATTTTACTCCTTACTACAAAGGAAGGAGAATAGATCATTTGGATTGACGTGTAGATTATTGAACATAACTAACTTGAATGCTTGATAGCATAAATGAAGGCCGTTCAAAGGGTAGAGTATAATGTCTTCTGAATCCAAGGATGATCCAACAGCAGCTAGAGCATGTACTTGGTAATGGATTGATTGCCAAAGAGAGGTGATGATGCTCGTTCTTGAGTTAGATCATATGTGATAAGTTGGTGGATTACAATCATCTATCGATATTGGTCTAGATTTCAGCACAAAATTTAATATTGAGAACATGTAAAAAATGTGTTATAACCATTAGCATCAAAAAAACTGAAGACTTGTGATCTTCATGTGGGATGATTCTCTATCATATGGAGAGTTTTGATATATTTGAAGTCAAAAGAAATGAATTTCATTTGGCCGGGACTAAAAATACCTGTTGTCAGTGGGTTATTTTGCTATGGAACTATGATTCAATAGCTCTACCTTTCCATAGTTCTTCCATGTAATTTAATACCTTCTTCTACAATGCTCTACTTTAAAACAAAGTATTCATGATATTAGTACGATTTTAATATTGTTGGGCTCCTCTCATCGAGTTGTGTTGTCTAAACTACAAGTTTGGTAAAAATGAATTTCGATGATTACAAAATCAATTCCTGGAATGTTTTACCTAAATGATTGTGCATTGATATCTAAAAATTCTTTTAAAATTCATGCCCGAAAAGATCAAATCTGCTAAATGTATCAATTACTATCAAGGATACAATTTGGGCAATGCAAGTTGTGATCACAGCTAGCAGAGACAATACAGACCCAAGAAAATTAAGCTGCAAATCTGTCACAGTCGCAATGCCAACACCCAGGAGGAGAATAACAAGTGATAGTTGGATGCTCTTACTGCAAAAATGACAGATGTAATGACAGAATAAAATTATAATATCATATAGAAAATAAAGTAAATTAACAAACGTAAGAAAAAAAATAAAGAAAAGAGATTTTTTTTATGTTCCAAATTTGCACAAGAAGATTCATTTAAATTTCAAAATTTTCCTCCTGAGTTTAACAACATAAAAGGAACATGACAATAGTTATTGTGAACATTGAGCAGAAAATCTATCGCAATCGCAATGCCAATACCTAGGAAGAGGGAAACAAGTGACAATTGGATGCTCTTACTACACGCAAGTCAAATGTACTGACATAATAAAATTACAATATCATATGACCTCTTACCACAAGCATAACAAATGTAATGACAGGATAAAATTACAATATCATATAGAAAATAAAGTAATGTAACAGAGAGAGAAAGGAAAGCAATTTTTTATGTTCCAATTTTGCACAAGAAGATTTATTTAAATTTCAAAGTTGTCCTCTTAACAACATAAAAAAGCAAAGCTAAAATGACAATAATTATTATGAATACCTTTTCCTAATGAACTTAAGATATGTAAGGACTGCAACTTGCTCTTATGGATGTGTTTGTCTTTATGAATGCATTATTTAACCTTTCTTCCTTTAAGTCTATCTTTATTTATTGACATATAGTAAAAAGTGGGAGTAATATGCCCAATCTATACCCTATTTTAAATGCAATGATTGATCATGATACACATACAATCATGATGTAGTTTCAAACTACTCTTATAGGATGAAAACTTAGCTTTATTTTTAGTTTTTATTTTGTTTTTGTTAGTTTTAGTTTTGGCAGCTTAGAGTTGATTTTGGGTTCATTTAGTTAAAGTATTATAGTTATTTCTTAAATAACTCTTCAATGGAAGTATTTGGATATGAGAAAGGATGCCATTATCTATTATTTAAACAAAAAAACTAAATTTCATTTATAAGTTCTATCCTTGAAAAACTACGACATGCTCAAGTTTTAATTCTAAATTAAGTCCATTCATTCATTCGATAAAAGAAAATTTCCACATTTATTTAATTGTTTACATGGAATATTATATCATGATGTCATCATCAACATCATCATGGTTGTCATTTTTACTGTAAGAAAAATTAATATGAATTCACAAATTTTGATATATAAAATAATTACATGTTTTAATTATGTAAGGCAGGAAGATGATTGTTTCAGAAAGCAAATCCAGAGGAACTTAGACACATGCACGTACAAGTTCAGCAAAATAGCAAATAAAGCTCCATTACAATACAAAATCAAAATTTTATCTTGTTATGCCTACAAAATTAGGGTATAATTATACATTAACATAAAAATGTAAGTGTGCAACATATTCGTCTAATGCAAAAAAATAAAAACAAAATCAATGAATTTTTCAATGAAAAAGAAAAATAAATTGATTTACTATATTGCATCTTGCATTAGTTAAACAATGATGGAATGATACCCAAATTAATAACAACTAGTTAATCATTGTTAATTTTTTATTCAATTTAACATCCACCAATATAATTATATCATAGTAAATATTTACTATCCAAGATTAAAATGATGAATTCAAAGACATGTCAAAAGGATTCAACCAAGAATTTCAAATTTAGATACCTTAAAAAAAATCAAAGTTAGATTAGATTACAGTATAATCGAAATTTCATAGGTTGTTGACGTCAAAAAAAAAAAAAAAAAAAACTGCTAAAAAAATTATTATGTTGTTGATTAAATTAAATTTCAACTAGATAGATCCTTTTTAAAATCAACTTTTCTAAATAACCAAACTAAATTACCCAAGTTAAAATTAACCACTTTAAAACTTAATACAAACACCCATCCACCATCTGCAACAATATATCGAGGGTGATAAACTTTTAATTGACTCCAGTTCACGAAAAATGAATATCATATTGAGTGTATCATTATATTCATACTTAAAGTAATTTTGCCTCAATAAGGATGCAACCTGAGTCATCTATCCGTATGGTTTGACCCAAAAACTCCATAAAAAAATAACAATTACGACCAAAACCTTTTGACCGGATGATTACCGTCAAATGATACCATTATATTATGGTCACGACCGCAAACTGTATATTTTCTAATAACTTACTACTTTTCAAGTTATGAATCATAATGATGCAATTAATTAACACAACCTCTTGTCAACTAAAACTGACTTAAATTTAACTCATTAGATAAATTTTCATCTCATATCTAAAAGAGTTCCTTGGACGATGCAACTGATGGTTGCTGACAACGATTCTTCAATTAGGCTGAGTCGACTACTTCCTCTGACTAAGTAGATCAGGGACCACAACGATCTAGAACGACGAAACTATGGAATCTTAACTGGGTTCGTTATCATGTCTCCCATCATCTACTTTAAGCTCAATGTAATAAATTTTATAATCTAAATTCTATGTTTATTGCTACTACATCTTAAATATTCAATTATGAATGATTAGCCTTAATTGAAAGTATTCTCCTGTTATCGGGAGGAGTGATTAATCATAAGTGCTTATGCCTATGAGAAACCTCGAACCCCAAATCAAATAGCCCACGTGATATCTCTGGGTAGTGTCTTATATATACAATCCAATCTATCGTCTACAAATTTGGCCCCACAAAGCTCTCAACAATATAATGAAGAGTTCGAGGGATCAAATTTTTGGAGCCCACAGAAGTCAACTATGGTTGGGCCTAATATAGAAGAGCAATAATTGATGCATTATTGTAATTAATCATAATTATAAAGTTGATCATCAAGTTTTATAATTTTGATAATATTAAAGGAAGAAAATCATGAATACTGTGATTTTTTTACTTCTACTCATCTAAGTCTAATATAATGAAAATTTAATTTTTCCATGTCTACTTGAAATACAAGTGTACATAAAAAATCATAACATTATACAGGCTTTTTTAATCACATTTTTATCTTTATCTTATTCCACCATGGTTTAATTGTTAATTGTATAGAAGTTCTCTATAAGTCTTTCCATGCCTTCGCATGGGGGCAAGTTTTTAGTTTCTTACTAACATCAAAGACAACATTCGATTATACCATAATCAAAGCTGTCAATGTCAAGTTCTTTAGGCTCCACATTCATATGCTGTAGAGCTGCTTGTACTAGGTTTGAATAGATGGTGCAACAGGAAACTTTTCAGTACATTAGACGACATGATTGAAAACCTCATAAATAAAAAAACAAAATCAAAAAGAAAAAAAATCAATGGTACAGTTGAATTACAGTGACATAATAAACACTTTAAGCTATCTGAATTATAATACAAAAAACAACTATTTGCTGCAGCTAGATAACATTTAATTTCCTAAACGGTTAATAGGAGAGATATGGAAACATGTACAAAAAAATAAAAGCTTGCAAAATAAAAAAAATAAAGGCTTGAAGATTTGACACACAGATTAAATAAAAGAATCCAATCACTTTACCTAATTTAGATACTTCATACAGAAAACCATCCATTGAGATGATGCACAAGATCTCTCTCTCAAAAATAAAGAATCCAACAGCAAATTTCATTGTATCTAACTTGTTTTGCAGTACACGTCAAAAAAAATTCAAATCCTGGATCTTCCAATGCTAAGAACTACCGCACAATATAACAGAAATTCCTAATTTGCGCATCACAATCCAAATATTTCTATTAATCATGAACAAACAATTGGGAAATTTCTAATGTAACCCTACCTACCAATATGAATAATCAGTATATGCTATCAAAAATTGCCAATTAAAATGGTGATAAAAAAAGATCATTATTGGTTTTTTTGAAGCATCTCACTAACAGGTATGAACTTTGAAATGTGTGGAAACCGAGAATTTAATTTTATTCTTATAATGAGCTAAAATAAATAAAATACACACCAACATAAATAGATCCTGGCCCAAATCTAATTGGTGGTTCATTATTTTTTTACATCTCATCCCTATGTTAAAAAAGGCACTCCTTCGTTCCCTCTCTCTACAAAATGTCATTTTTAGACGTAGGTTGTGATTCAATGCATTCATGTACACTTTAGGCCAAATTTTTCTTGAAGATACGACATGAAATGTCAGTTCAATGAATTTTACTTTCATTATTAGATGTTTCCAACACAAAAGCTGACATAGCTTTACTGCCATCATTATCACAATCCTCTGTTTCATTGAATTACCAAAACGGGCTCCCTTATTATTTATTCTATATTCTATATAGTTCACCATAGTTCAACATAATGCAAAAATTCTTCTGAATCTCAAGGTAATTTAAGGCGAAATTATAACCAAAAGAATAGTTTGAATTTCAGGTAAACATACCCATTATTCATGAATCTATTGCATGTACTTCACAATGGCTCTATCCTGATTATTAAACAGCTAAATTGATTGGCTTGGTTAAGTTAATTGATCGTGTGATTGCACCACACTTCTCAGTATTTGAATCTGAAACCAGCCATTGTGAATTTATTGTCTACCAGAATAATTTTTTCACGTCTTTACAAAACATGGAAACTTACTATATTTTTCAAATTTCAGGAGAATAGCCACAGCACGGGAATTTTCTTGCTCTACAGAAGTGAAAATATGTTAAACTTGATGTTTTTGAAGAGGAAAGCCATTTGAAAGCTGAGTTGTTAAAATAAGTTGTCCTAGCAGTGCCAAAGGATAGCCTCACAGCAAGCAAGATATCAATTCCATGATTATTGGGAAAAGAAAAAAAAAAAACCCAACGTGAATTCATATACCAGCTCTAGAACTAACTTAACTAATGTCGTTTTCTACTTATGACTAGCACACAAAATAGAAATATATTCACTACACAAACAAAAAAGACTTCATTGCCCTCGTGAGTTTCTCAACAAACAGAATACCACATATAACGGAAACAAGTACATTATAAATTCAAAAACTGACCTGAATGTCTTCCTAAAGAAAAGAGTTTCCAGCAATACAGTGCAAGGAATTATTGCCAGCTTTGTCATCTAAATAAAAAAACGAAGCCTAAGCTGCTAGAACATCCAGTCTCAAGAAATTTATAAAACAGAATCAGACAGAAAGAAAATATACAGGTAGAACAAAGCATGTATCAGATGGAATAACCTTTTAAGCTAAATGATACCAAAATGTAGTAAAAAGCAATTGATACTCTTGATATATTTCTTCATTACACACATAAATAAGAAAAAAAAAAACAGCAGACAAAATTCCTTGAGAAGACAATTCTAGGAAATAAACAAAAAATTGACAAAATAAAAACACAAAAGGGTTAGCATTTATTATGTTTTATTTTCTTTGCATGGTGTTATCTTCAATTTGCTGTTTTGGGAATTGAGATCTCAAATCTGGATGAGAAAAATAGAGGGTTGATGTCAAGTTGATCACTAATAAAAAGACTTATGCCAAAGGTAATGAAAATGCAAACAGTCTAGATAAGAGAATAATAATATGAGATTTTTAAGGGGTTGCCATTAGTTGCATGAACCTAAGCATGAAAGAGAAAAAAAAAGTTACACTGCATGTAATTCTATTTTTAAACATACAAGCAGGATATCAAAAAATGACACGTCTCTTGTTTTCTTAACAAGGTCTTACCAAGTTCATTAAACAGACATAGAAAGCTATTCCAATCGAATGATTTGCAGAAACATATATGATTCTGTTTTACAATCTCTCTTTATATCATGTATTGTTTGCCTTTGAAAGCCTTATTTTACTCAAATTGCTGTGAAGCTATATGTAAAGTACTTGAATGTCTTCTCGCTCTTATTTAACGTAATTTTGCTTGAGTAGGACCCGCATGAAAAGTGATATATTTTATAAGTGTGTTCATTTCTGTGCTAAACTTCAACAATGTAAACAATAGCATATGGAGCCAAAAATCAAGTTATGTAATAACTAAACAACTGTCATTAAGCTACAGAGAAATTTCTAGTCAATTGACTGTCCGAATTAGAAAAACTGACTATTCCTGGCCAAAGATGCCTTGGTAGGAGCCTCAGAATTGTGTAATGGAATCAAGTTTGAATCCGAACATTAATACATCATAACTTCGTATAGGCTCAATCCTATTGGCCATGCGATTCACCTGGTTTACTAATATAATTGCCAACGAGAGAATCAAACAAATAAGAGATCTTCGCTACTGTTTCATTATGCAGACTGTAAAGGAGAGTTTGGGCTAAGGGCTAAGGGCTAAGATAGAGAAAATAAAATCAAATATAACCACAACTCCAGGCCAAAATGGGCAGAATAAACATTGTCTGCTCGGTAATTTTAAGCTACCATGAGACATCATAATCAGCAAGAACATTAGAACACTTGTACAAAGTAAATGATAAATCATTAATATCAGCCAATAATTTAAATTGAAGCTTACTGAGCAATCACAATAATTCAAATGGAGGAAGTGCTCAGTAAATTCTAGCTTTGCAAATGAACTTAAACAAAAGTGGGGTACCTGATAGAAGCCAATTGAGTTGAAACCCAAGCATAGGTTCAGTAAACCAATAGAGATTCCATTAAGTATTCCAAATCCCACAACCACCTTCCGATCAAATGGTTTATGTTCAAAAAACTTCATCCATGATGCCACATGAAGCGAACAGAATGTGACTAAGAGATGCCAGCTAGTCAAAGTAGTGGCTGCAAATGACATGTGTGAAGTAAGCACAATAGTGTTGAATTTATTGAAAATACACTCTGGAAAAGTCAAGAAAAATTGGATTGTAAAAAAATCTTATGAATAGCCCAACTTATCTGCACAACATTTTGAAGAGAGCTGCATCGAGAATAGGGATCACAACCAAAAAAATTCAACAAATCTATTGAGGAATTGGAAATTACAAAACAAAATCAAATATAACTAAATAGGCCTAGCTAAATAAGTTGTTAAGTTAGACGTGTAGCAAAAAATAGGAAGCATTGTGTGAAAAAATTGACAAGGTTGTGGCGAGAATAGCACCAATTCAAGGCTATGTAGGTTTGGGCATGTACAAAACAGATAAAAGCAAGTTCTGATAATACAATGAAAAATAATTTCAAATGATACGCAAAGGAAAATGGGCAGACAAAACTAATTTGGCTTGAAATTGCAAAACAATTGTGTAAACTGGAGCACAAGCAATACTCAACAGGAATGAATATGAAATAAAGATTCATAAGATCAAATCTAAATAGTTAGATTAGGTTAATGATGACGGTATCAGGAATGCTGATGAAATTCCAAAAATAGAGGATAAAAATAATAAATATTGATACCTTATTCTATTGAAATGATATAGAAGTATTTTTTAGAGGTATTTCTTGTTTTCTTTGATTTTAAGTGTTGTATTATGATAAATTTCAAGTAAAAGCAAAAGAAGATGGAGAACAAACTAAAAACCACAATCACAAGACACATATTTAAATGGCTTGGCAAAATTAATATACATTCTCAACCACACAAACATTAAATATTATATTAAGCTTTAAAAGAGGAGTACACGAATTATTTATTTTCATACAAAATGAAGATAAGGATAGAGACCCCACTTCTTTAATATCCATGCCTAGGTGGGAATGAAGCCACCGAGTACGAAAGACTATGTTACTGTTGTAGCTATTATTTTCTTTCCTTTTTAGCTACAAGAGCTTTATTCTCTCTTCCCTTATTTATTACAAGATTTTCTTAAATTGCTGAATGGTCAAGCCCCTCTCCCACTCCCCTCTGTCCCGATTTTCTCTATATTTTTGTGGTTGTGCTTCAACAAAAATGTAACAATTTCATTATATAGTGCTTAGAGGGGATAGGTTAAAAACTTGGAAATATTAAGTAGACAGTGATAAAAAATATAATACATCGTATTGGGCAGAGAATGATTTGTAATAAATTAATAAATGTTAGATTTATTTTGGCAGGTAATAATGATTAGATGAAGTTTATTTTCACCAAATTAAAGAAATTTGTCTCCACTTCTTAATAATCCCCTAATTAATAACAGAATTTCTGACATACTTATTTAGTGGTTGGTGTCTGACCGCTTTTCTATGTGGCACCTATATAATATCATTTATAGAGGCTAATCAAGGCTTTACAAAACCTCATGGGCACAATTGTAGGATTTTTTGCTAGTTTAATTTTGATGAGCTATAAGCCATCATCTTCGAACAATCTATGCATGTAGTGGTATTTAAGTTGTATATACTTTGTTCAAGAGTAGAAAATGGTATTTTTTTATAAAGTGAACAGCCGTTGATAGCCACAAAAGAAATCAATGTCTTCTTATTATAAGTTCAATTGCTCCATAAGACGTAATGCCTAAACAACATGTTGATTGCCACAAAAGAAATCAATGTCTTCTTATCATAAGTTCAATTGCTCCATAAGACGTAAGGCCTAAATCATCTCTTTGTTGGCCCATTGACAACTACATATTCAAATTTTATTATTGATAATACAACTATCTTCCGTAGTTGTGGCACTTACCTAATATCAATACCAGCTAAGACATAAATGTGCCAAATAATACCTCTTTGTGAATCTAGGTCTCCACCCAAGTTCACATCAACATATCTATGTCATTTTAAAGTCAATTTTTTAAAACTTCAAAGATTGATTAATTTTATCTTTTAAGTAACATAAGATCCATTTTATAGCTTCCCAGTATTCATTTCCTTAATTTAGACATTCCTATTGCACATGTGATATCAGATTATGTGCAAACCATTCAAAAAATCAAAGATTCAATTGTTGATGCGTAAGAGACTTTAGCCATATAGCTTTTCTCTTCATTTATTTTTATTAATTGTTCTTTTTAGAATTTGATAATGAATTACAAGCAATATACTCTCTTTTTTTACTTACAAACTTGTCAATCACCTTTTCAATTTATTCAGATTATGATGGATTCAAGATACCTATAATTTTATCTTGATCTTTTCTCATTCCATGTATCTTCTTAGCTTCTCTCGAGTCCTTCGTATCAATTTTTTTAACAATTATCTTCCTAGTTTGTTGATTTCATTTTTTAAATCAGCACTTATAATTAAAATGTCATTATAAATAAAAGTAAGAAAATACAATATATTTAAGAGTCTTTTTAAATAGCAATAGTAATTCACATTGCAATGCAAAAGAACATAATAAATTAAAATTTTGATACCAATGCATGGTATCTGCTTCAAATCATACAGATTTTATCGAGCTTGCAAACAATATTTTCTTGTTCTTTTAATGCAAAGCCAATTTGAACCATACAAATGCATTCCTTTAGAACTCTAAAAAAGTAGACTTAATATCTGTTTGCTTTGTATGTAAAGCTTTTTGCAACTACAATAATAACCATATAACTATTAGTTTAATCATATTAGAGAAAATTTTAGAAAATTCAATGCCTTCCTTTTGTTAGATGCCTTTTAGCACCTGCCCACCTTTTATCTTTTGAAGAAATTATGCCCCCTTTTTTATTTTGCAGATCCATTTATTTGTAAGGCTTTTAATTTCTTTAGGTGGCTTAGTGAATGTCTAGGTATTTTTCTGGTTTTAATAAAATCTCTCTTACATATTCTTTAACTTATACAACTTCCTCATACAATTCAGATGCACTTGCATCAATAAATAACAAATAATATAAACAAGAATAATGATGGTTAATAAGCTTTAAAATTTTTAATAATCTTTTGAATTACATCACATGAGTGATGGGCTGAGATTTTTTAATCAATTTTGAGTATCTCCTAGCTTTAATCAAAATTAATAGATTCCTTCAATTTAACATACTATGCAATAGAGGTCTCTTCTTTAGTACTATTATAACTATAATTGTATATCACATTTTTTTAAATAACATTCTTGCCTTCGATTATTTTCTTATTTTCAATATTCCAAAATATGTAGCCACAATCATTCATATCATAATCAATAAAATAACATTCCTTTATTTTAGGTCAAAATTTTCTATCATGTTATAATCAATGCGTGCAAAATTACGATAATAAAAAAACATTTAAATGTAATAACCTTTTCAGTCTAAACCTCTTCAGGAAGTCCAAACATAAAAACTTTCCTGTCTAAACTTCTTCAGGAAGTCCAAACTTAAGAACTATAAAATGATCCTCGATTAATGTGATATGCTACAATATTTATTTCATCAACCCAAAATATATCTGGCAATCATATGTGTAATCAAGTTTAAAGCATTCTATCACGACTCCATTCTACTGAGAAGTTTTTGAGACAGTTACTAAATATTTTTTTGAATTCTATATTATCATACTCTCCAGAATTATCGAATTTATGTACAGGGCTCATTTACAAATAAACTTAATTTATGTATTTGGATTGTGTCCAAATAAACCTTTCAATATTAAAGAGTTAAAAATATATTAAATCTATTTTTTATTCAATAAATTTGTATTTTCAGGTGCAATCATTTATGAATGATACAATATATTGAGTCACTTCTGTGTGAATTAATTTTAGTTTCTTATTTTTTGGTTCTCTATCAATATTTTAGAAATAAATATTTCTTTTTCCCTATATATATATATATATATATTAAAACATATTATAACTCCCAATGCTCGTGTAGTTATAGTGATGTAGAGTGCATTAATCTTATTTATTGGCACCCCTAGTCACCTTCCAAGTGTTGGTATTGAATGTAGATTACATTATTCTGTTATAAGTTGTCTTATAAAAATCAAGTTTCTCCTCTAGCCAAAAAGGTTTTACGTTGCCCTTTAAGGTGACTACGGGTCCGTTTGGGACAGTTTAAAACAACGGGCGGCATTTTGAACACGTTGTCCTACTGTTTGTTATCCACGTTTTATCGGCATTTTCAATACCGTTGTTTTCATTCTGTAAAGAACGTCGCCCGCGAGATCATCGCTGCGGGCCGCGTTCCGTTCTCACATTTTGTCCCGAATTACCCCGCTGCCCTCAAATCGCGACGCCCTAGCCCCTCCCAGATTCGACATTCCTTCTTCCTTCGTTTGCGAGTCGTTCCCGGCTTCGGCACTCCTCCTCAGAGAAGCAAAGGCTCTGCTATGGCAATCGGGTGAATCTTGTTGGACTAAGACGTATTGCTTAGGCTACAGTCGTTCAGTCCCCAACCGCAACATCAGGGCACGTTGCTAAATATCTACGTGAAATATTTGCGTACATAAGATGTACGCAGCGCTGGGTACATCAGAGGTTATTCTGGTGGTACAGGGGAGTTATATCCGGGTTATACCGGAGGTTACAAGGGGGTATAACCCAGATATAACCCCATTGTACCCCCTGAATAACCCTTGATGTACGCAGCGCTGCGTACATCTTATGTACGCAAATATTTCTCAATATCTACAAGTTAGGGGACGAAGCTCTCGTCGTTGGCCCATTTCTCTGCACCGCCATTAATCTTCAATCAAACAGTAAGAAGCGCTTTATCGGTGTCGAGTCTCCCATTCCCCTTTCTTTCTTCCACGTCGTTCTCCACATATTGCCTTCTGAGGTTCGCTATGGCCATGGTTTTACTACGGCGAGAGATCTCATGACAACGCCCTCATCGACCACCTCCAACGAGCTAAACTTTCTTGTTCTCTACTATCTACAAGAGTCGGGTCAGTTTGTTTGCTGGCCTCAGAACTCTCTCTCTTTTTTTTTTGTAGTTTCAAAGGTTCAACCTAATTTGCTCTTGTGGTGTGGTTGATGTTTTGTATTTGTAGTCTGCTATAATTCTAGTTATTTACCGCACATGTTTTTCTTGATTTGATTGTCATTCTCGGACAAATTTAAGGGTTTTGAACTACTCAAATTGAGTATCCATGTTTGCTGTCGTGGATGAGGAGCTTTTGGGAGAATTTATAGCTTTTGATTGGTTTACACTTTACCGTGAATATATGCTAAAATCCATGCTTTTGTTCCATACGTTGTTGGGAGAATTATACCTTTTAAGCATGCAATACATTGTGCAAGTCAATTATACCTTTATTGGCAATATTAAAAACTTTCGATAGAAATTAAATCTTTCTTTCTTTTATTTGATTTTTGTTTTCCTTTTTTAATCTGTTTTTTTTTTTTTTGCTCTAATTGTTTGATAAGGTGCTATTATCACATAATTCAGAGTTGATATTGAATTCAGATAGAACTGTTAAAGTTACACTAATAATAGAACAAATTCTTTGTATTGTTTTTGTTGGGGAGCCGAGATTATTTCAAGTTAGTTAAGCTACATCTTGGTCACATTAATGGGTTTATGGCATGCCTATGGGTGCACAATTTTGCCAAACCTAGCACTTGCCTCAAATATTTCCTTCATCAGAAATTCATGCATTAGACTCGGTTTTATTGCTCTTTTTTTTAATGCATAGAACCAACATGAATAGTTTTCATGCAATTTAAGTATAAAGTTTCTCAATTTACTGCTACGTTGAGTTTGTTGAAATAAATGGATGTAACTTTATCTAGCCGCCTTTGAATAATGGAATTTGAACAAATTTGTATGCCTTTGGATGTAACATTTTTGTATGCTTCAATTCCTCTGGTTTTTTTTTAACAACAAATTTGACTTTTTTTTATAATTAAATAAAACTATTGAAATTATCGTAATTTTGTACTGTTATGAAATGATATTTTTTTGTTCTGAAACCGTCAAATGTGTAGCCATTAAAGTTCAAGTGTAAACAACAACACAGTGTCTGCCATAATGAAAATTGCAAATCAGTTGTTTTCCAAACATACAAACCAAACAACCAAACAACTTATTCAGAACAGGGGCAGAATTATCATTTATCTAGAATCAGTTGTTTTCGAAACACACAAACCAAACAGCTAGTCAGTTTATCAGAATAAGATGCTGGTCAACAGATTATTAGGGTAAGTTGTTCATCTGGATAAGCTGCAGCTGCCCCAAACAGACCCTACATTTATGATTTAAAATATCACAAACACCAATATCCATAATATTCAAGATTATCAACAATAAAATTTTATCATAATTATTTGTAGAGTGATTTATAATTAGCTCTTCACGAGAAGAAATGGAATGATGTAACTAAATTTAATATCCAAGATTTCCTTGAACAGTCGCATTAACAAGCAATACATCTTAAATTTCTTTATTAGCAATATTCACAATTTCTTCCTTCTGCTTTTGCCATTTTTCATGTTTTCTATTGCAATCATCTCTACCTAATTAAATTTAGCATTTTATTTTGTTATGAAATATGTGTTGACTCTTATTTCATGATTTAAATCCATCTTAGCCCCAATGATTAATTTTCTATTGAAATATGCTTCCACTATTAAAGCAAAGGAAAAAAAAAGGAGGTTGCCTACCATATGTTGTGAAATCCCTTTACGAAGGATGAGTATCAAATATTAATTAGTTTCAATTGACTTGAACCATAAGAGTTGAAGATAGTCATTCCTACATTGTATCAGCTTTTAGCGAGTGAGAAAAGTAGACTCAAGAAACAATTTTGTGATCAAAATTGATGCCAACTGAGCTTGACTAACTTGTAATTGAGTTGAACTCATTAACAATAAAGGCTCCTTCAAACAACCCGACATTAATAAAATTGAATCGACATTAGTTAAGTATCATAACTATAGAAGATAATTATGTTATCTATAATAGAAGTTGAATATGTAGTTGCCAACAAAGACAACAAAAGCTTGATTAACTTGTAATTGAGTTGAACTCATTAACAATAAAGGCTCCTTCAAACAACCCGACATTAATAAAGTTGAATCGATATTAGTTAAGTATCATAACTATAGAAGATAATTATGTTATCTATAATAGAAGTTGAATATGTAGTTGCCAACAAAGACAACAAAAGCATGATTTGGCTAAAAGGCTTTCGGAAGAATTGAACTAATTACAAAAAAACTTTACTCTCTTTTGTGAGAATCAAAGTGTTATTCACTTAGCAAAAAATATCATTTTCTCCCTTGGATGAAACACATACAACTCAAATATTATTACATAGAGAATTATTCAAAGATGATGCCTTACAACTTGTTAAAATCAAAAGAGTAGAAAAACTCATTGATATACTCACAAAAATGATAATAACTAAAAATGTAATTAACACTAAGAATGACAATATAAAAATGGTAACGTCCAAACACCGACACTAAGCAGCTACACTGAAAATTTTAATCAAAAAGAGGAATTTTCAAGTTGTGAAAATAACTTTCTTTAAATGTGTATAGAAAAAATTTTCTACATACACCTTGATACCGGAGTTAACCGAAATCATAATAAAAATGCAAATGTTATTGCTGAAATTCAGAAAGGGAGTTACAAACGAAGACACTTGAAAATAGAAAAATAAAAACATAAACATAAAAGAAACTCTAGGGCGATAACAAAAGCGGTAGTCGGCGGGTCAAGCTATTGAAATCAAGAGTTTGTAGGTACAGGGAAGGGTTGGCAACAACAACGTAAGGTTAAATGGGCGGTCAAACAATAGATAAGGAGGTGATGTAAGGGGCAATTGGGGTAAGTTGGATGTGCGAGTTGCAGCTATAAAGCTGGAAGAGACTCGGAGGAGCGTTCACAGCAGGTCGGTTGTGAAGGAGGAGGCAACAGCAGGTTGGCTGTGAGGCAGGTGGCAAGAAAGCATCAAAAGATTTGAGTGGATTAGGGCAGCAACAGAAAAGGTGGGGTGGAGCTGGCGACAGCAAGTAATAAAAGGAATGATACACACCACATTAAATGAATTACAGCTGGAGCACCTTCTCGTCGTCGGATACAACCCTCAAACGAGAAAAAAGGATGTCGACAACTATCTAAACAGAAATCTCACTAAAAACTAAACCTAAAACAGAAAAAACAACATATAAATAGTAGTAGAAAACTAAGGGGGACCCCCCACTTTTGGGCGACAAACCTAGCGCCTAGATGAAGGGTTAGCCAATTCCCTTGATCCAACTAGTTGAACCGGTTCAGCTCCTCCCAAGCCTCGCGTCATACCCACCGCCTAACCCTTCTAAATTTATTATCGATTGTCCTCCATCCAACATTTAGTTTATATCACCTACCACAATCTACCTAATATTTATAAATTTGCTACCAACCACCTCTTAGCATTGTATAAGAAATTTTTTGCATTATGAAGCATCCCCACAACCATAAGAAAATACAAAAAAAGAGGGATAGAATGAAGAGACCGGCTTAACATTTTAGCCATAGCACGAAGAATCTCTTGCATCAAAGAAGGGTAGAGAAAAAAATCATGCAATGAAAATGGGAAAATTATAATAGCAACAATATCAGCATTTTCACAATAGGCTGTTTTATACCCTCTTAGAAAATAACAATGAGGAAGAGAAGTTCTATCTTTAGCTTGTATAAGAAAATATTTGATGTACTCTTCTTTTAAGGCTTAATAAAATATTTGATCTCTAAGCTATCGTAGATTAGTTAAATTTCACCAAGCCACATAAGCTTACATTTCTTCTAGCTGAGATCTTAGGTGTTTTTATTCTCCGCCTTCATTTAATTTTGCTTAAGCTTCTATCAATATCCCAACTTTAAGCTTCGGTGGCCTCTATCACTCTCTGTAACCTGAGCATTACCTTAAAGTTCACGTCAAATCACAAACATCAATCTCAGATTGGAACCTTATTATTTCCAAATGTACAAATGTCATAACCTAATATCCTTGCATTGACACCTGAAAGTGAGCCACAACGCAATGAGATCGAATTGGGATTAAAACTGTCAAAGACAAATTCACAAACACAAATGCCCGTCAAAGTTTCCATTCAAACAAAGTCTGCCAAAGATAAGTCTTCAATCTCTAAACAATTCCTCGCCCCTCAGATCACTCAGATCTGTTTTCCAAATCTATGAATAATACGAAATCCTTAAACATAAGAATATATATATATATATATATATATATAATGCAAAAATGCAAAAATGATCACCTTTGATATGTGTTTATATATATATATATATATATTAAAAAATGAAAGAGTGCTTCCGTACAATGAAGCTAGCAGATTGGAGCAGCACAAAAAATTCACCATAAACCACCCTTGTAAACACCTCAAAAAACAAAAGGAAATACAATAAAGGTGATCAAAAGACCACAAAAAGCTAAAATCATTCAAAGTTTGGCATTTAAGCATGCGTGATCTGCCTATTAAACAACAGACAACAACTTCGAATTAGTAAACTCAGCTACTCCGTACATCACCTTATCTCAAACGCCAAATAATTATATGTACCACCAAAACATATGATTAAAGATGTCGATTAATCAACCGAGACAGCAAGATAATCAGGCACTGTATTCAGCAAAACAGAAAGCAGAAATGCACAAAAATAGCGCACCAAATGAGAAGCCGAGAGAACTGATGAGCGCCTTGTTGCATATCACAATGGAGACGGACGATACCACCGAGAGACTAAGCGCGCCCAAGGTTCCCAACTGGAACCGCTCGCCATCTCCCATCTCAAATTCACTGGATCCTTCACCAACCAACCTCAACTATCCATCGCGACTCTCAGAAGTACGAAATGCCTTAATGCTATAGAATTGGAGCTACGTCGACTGACAGCTTGTAAAGGGGATGCACCTAAGGGAAAGACACGTTGGCTGCAACGATTAGGTCAACGAAACCAGCTCGGACACGACAATCGGATACAAATTTCAAGCGGGAGTGGACTTTCGAAACCCTAGATCCAATCTCAGTTAGTGGGAGAGTAGAGGGCCTCACCTACCCATGAATCTGTAACAAATAGAAAATCTCATGGAGCTCAGATTTCTCTGTCGTCGCGCGACAAGTTAGGTCGTGTAAAGCCGGCCTTGCGTACTAATTTGTAGCTCGTCCACGAAAGCATTTGCGCGAGTTTATATAGTGTCACTCAATTTTAATAAGGGATTTTTTTTATATATATTAAATTTATGGGACATTTACATGCATATCCCCCAATTTTTATACATTTATATATTTAGTATTTAATATTTGATTTGTAAATTTATAAAACTCGTAAAAATATTGCTATTATGCGGTACATGTATAATTTTTTTAAATTTATTTTTAAATGAATATGCCTTTAACTATTAAATTTTAATATTTTATTTACATGAAAATATATTTAATGAGGAGTTGTACGGTAAAATATGTATATTAATAGAAAGAATTTATTATTTTAGTATTGATATGTCGTCAATAAATTTTATCATTTGACATAAATTTTGAGAGAATTAACACTAATTTCGAAAAGATCAAAAGACAGACCGTAAAGGTTAACTAGGTCGATTTGAGTAAAATAATTCAACCAATACAGATAATGCTAAAACACAAAAGTAGGTACATAGGAGTCACCAAATGGTTGGTAAAATTCAAATAATTATATTTATCAATCTTCCAGATCATATACATAAACAAATTTCCTAAATTTAAACAAAATGTAGAATTAGCTATAGAAAAATTATAAAAATTGATACGCAACCAACAGTTTTTCATCATCTGGCTCGGTGCAATTTTTTGAAAAAGAAACATTCAAACTCTGATTAAGAGTCATCCAGAATTATGATTTCAGCAAATTTCTAGTCAAACTGATCGGCTCGAAGAGACGGACCTAATGAAATAAAAGTCAGTCCAATCCAAGTCAAATCAAGTCCGGGACAAATCATCAAACCACACTTGGAGGATTTCCGGAGGCAATTGAAAGATCGAACGGATGTCGAATCTAACGAGTTCACAGTCGAATCAAACTTCTCGACAAGACGAATCCAACAAGTTCAAGATTGCTTAATTCTGACATCGTTAAGACACTCAAATGTCCATCAAACGTCATCTGATCAAGGGAAGCTCTCCGGACCGTTCGATCAAAATGATTCATATTCCTGCATTAATTGCACCCAAAACACTATAAATAGAATCTCACCCCTCACATGAGAGGAATGAGGCTTAAAAGACAACTTGAGGCTTTGAGAAGGAGCTCAAGTCCAAGATCATCCTCGCTATCGCCGATCGTCGTCGACCACCACTGACCGTGGAAAACCACCGCTGACCTCTGTCAACCACCGCCAGCCACCGTTGATAGTCATCAATCACCGCTGACATTCGTCGACCACAGCCGACCGTCCTCAACTGTCGTCACCCATCGTTGACCTCCGTCGACCTTCTTTGATTATCGTTAATTATCGTCGATCACCGCCGACCTCCATCAACCACCGCTGATTAGACGTCGTCAGTCGACGTTGTAACTTGGAAAGCTAGTAATTTCCCCTATGTGAGATAAAAGATTGTATTTGTAATATACAATTTATAGTGGTTCTCTTCAACTGGGTCGCCAAGTCCCGTGGTTTTTCCCCTTTAGGGGTTTTCCACATAAAAACTTCTGGTGTTATCACAACTTGATTCATTTTCATCCGAGTGTGTGCAGACGATAATCCATTACTCTACCGCCATAAATTCTCTAGCACGCATCAAAAATATAAATCAAAACTAACAAGTTTACAAACCTCATAACATTAAATCAGTTTTTTTAATAAAAGATGACAAATTCTTAATTTTCTAAAAATTAAATAATTCTAAAAAAATAGGTTCAATTCGTAATATTCTCAATCTTAATGTCTTGTACATTATCTCATAACTATTGTACATTGTCCCATGACAATTTGAACCCATTTAGAACTATGACCAATCTTTTAAGTACTATGACCTTTCCCCGGTTTCTATTTAAAATCAGCTCAAATGTTGTCCTAATCCTATTGAGGGTCCGTTTGGGGCAGCTTGTGCGTTTCATGATAAGCTGCTTATCCTGAAACGCGGCCCCCGCCCCCCCCCGCCCGCCGCCCCGGCCTGCGTTTAGTGTAAAAACCCAGACGCAGTTTCTGATAAGCTGGCGAAAAGCGCGAACCAAACGGTATGGTGGCGTTTTGAAAACGCCGCCCGCACTTATAAGCTACCCCAAACGGAGCCTGAATTTCATATTCAAATTCTAGAAATAAAATCTTCGAACCACATTGAAATTATTGGCCAATGCATTAACTATAAGTTTATTATAATCTAAATATTTTTTTTGGATACAATTAATTACATGGATTTGTCTTTATAAAAACCTTTTATTCTAGAATAAAAAACATCCTAATCAGTAGAACATATTTAGTAGAACATATTTAGTAGTAACAATAGAAAGATGGCCAACCACCCAATTAATATAAGTTAGTGGAATAGCATTATCAATCAATCCTTGAATGATGAAGCTTCTACTTGCACAATTAATGTTTTATTTAAATTGATTTTCACACGAAAAGAGTTTTGGGAAGATAGAGAGAGAAACACCCTAAGAATTCCATGCATTTTGAATGGGATGAATGGTAAGAGCACCTTTTTAAGGTTGTTTGGCCAAAATCTTAGACATGCCTTCACAATTATTTATTCATGAAAATATAAATGCATGTAGTCATTCAAACAACTTCATAAGAATAAGATTGATTGTGGAAAATGAACATTTTGTCTCAATCATGTCCATTTTTTTTAATAAGTTTTTTCTTTATTTTCTTAAAATCAACACCTACTACTAAAGGTGATATTTTTATGAATTAATAAACTAAATTATCATAATATAATAAATTTTGAGAATAGGTAAACTAGTGTAGGATTTGAATCAAGTTAAATTACCATTAAGTGATCTCGAAAAAAAAGAATAAGGTTCTAATTTGGTTCAATATGAGTCTGTCAGGCTAGAAGCTTGAACTTAACCAATTCGATGAGTGAATTTTTTGCTGTTAGTGATTTTATTATTAAGATCTCTCATCTAATAAGCAAAATATATTTATTTTTTTGAGCTGACACATATAATTCAAACAATCATGCCCAATTTGTCAATGGGGTGCTAAATTGAAGGGACTCAAGTGCTTATCATGTTGAGTCTAGCTGCGTTTAAGTTAAGAATTCAATATTTTTAATAAATTAAGATCTCTAAACCAATTATACTAAGATAAGACAATTTCAAGGTTCAGGTCAACCCACTTTAATTATACAAATTAAAATTTTTCATCAATTTAAATTTGAATTTAATTAAGTGAATCAATAAATTCATACCTTTTTGAATGATAAAGGAATAAAAATAAGTTGAACCGTAGTTGCAAAGCTGTAAAATTCTTAAAATATCTAAATTATATCAAAATTGGAATTTATTTTATGAGAAAAATATTTTCTATTTATTATTTTTTCTTATGTAGCATTTATTGTTTAACTAAAATTTTGAAACAATCCATCAAATACTCGTTTCAATCAATTAGGGGGCATTTAATATCCCTCGTACTTAGGATTGAGCGAAATTAAGGGTTTGTTTGGGGCAGCTGCAGCCTATTGAATAATCAGCTAATAGTGCGGTGGCTATTACAAATTTTTATTTTTTTTGGAAAAGCCAAATCGCAGTTAGAAAGCAACCACCGCACCTAGACATGTGCGGTGTGAAAACACTATTTTCAACGTTTTGAAAACGCATAAGCTGCCAAAACGCAGTTTACCCAAACAGGTCAGGTGTGTTTTCAAAATGTCACTGCACAAAATAAGCTGCGCCAAACAGATTATAAGTTGAGATGCTCACTAAAATTATAAATAGTAATATTTATAGATTTTTTGTGTCCTTCTAATAAAATCTTGATATTTCTAACTATGTCTCAAATTCTTGATTTTGGTCTATTTGTGCTCATCAAACCGCTTTTAATTTCATTTATTCATCTCATATAAATCTTACTTTGACTATAAAATTATTAATAACAAAGTTTGCATGGTATCAAAAGTGTTCTTAAATGTTTCTAATACGTCTGCTTGCATCAAAATCAGTGCTTGATAAGAATGTTTTTAATGATGTTTCAACTTAGCTCAACTTAACTAACCCTAATTTAATTTTTTATTATTTAATTTCATTAGCTTCAACACACAATCATTAAAAAAAATCATGATATGATTGTTTATATAATGCACAATTCACACAAATATGATAATTTAATTTGTAAGATTTGAACAAATGATCACACAAAATGACAATCACAAGTCTAAAGATATTGTTCTAGATTACATCTTAACCAAAGAAAAGTTATATATTATCTAGCCAACTATTGCTCATGCTTTCATCAATCATTATTAAACAATAAATCTTAATAAAATCTCAGGATAATTGCTTTCCATGCCCTTAAGATATTATAATGCAACATTTGTTCATATTGGCAATAGGTTTCAGCCAGAAAAAAAGTATGTGGCTACTACATAAATAATATATAAACCTAATTGTCATATAGATATTAGACAACATTATAAAGTAAAATATCTTATTTATGTCCTAATTCTATGAGATGAATGAATTTCTTCAATCTTACATTAAGCGCTGCTGGCTGATTCCTTAACACACGTAAAATATAAACTCTATTTTTGTTCTCAGATATTTATGATTTTGTCTTAATTAGAAAGAAATTTAAGACAAATTTTTTTTTTTGGATGAGTTCGTGTGTGTTCGGGATTGGCTCAAGTTCAACTCATTCAAAATTGTTCGTGAACAGTGTGTTTGTGTTCGACCCGATTTATATATTTTTGTTTATGTTCGGCTAGAATTTGACTTATTTAAATTAATTATAAAAAATAGATATAGAGTGTTGGATCCAACTCATTTTAGAAGGAGCATAACATCATGACCCAACGAGCTAGTATAATTCAAACTTAGATACAAATATATATAATATATACTATATAAATAATATATATAATAGCTAAAATGAGTCAAACATGATTGAACAAAGAGCTGTTCATGTTTGGCAATCATGCTCGGCCCATTGATATTTTAAGCTAAAAAAGTTTGCTCGTGTTCTTCTTGTTTACTTAACGAACGTTTTGAACACGAGCTATTCACGAACATAAAACTTTTTTAACTATGTGTGCGTGAGAGAGAGAGAGAGAGAGAGAGAGAAATGTATACATACATGAAATGGGAATAAGAATAAAGAAATCAAAGCGAGAAATTGAAATAAAAGCACGAAACAAATGAATTTTTATTTGTGTCAATACATCTAATTTTTTGGAAAAAAAAATATTGTGTGAAAATTCATTTGATTTTTCACTTGAAGGGGCGGAGCAAGTGTCGGTTCAAACTCAGTTAATTAAGATTTTTTTACGTTGTTTCTAACCAGTATGCTATTGGTTAGAGGATGACTTGTGGTAAAGTTGATTCAATAGAAACAAATGATTTTGAGTGGCAATGGACCAACTTAATTTTCGACCCTATGTGCACCAATAAAGCATCACATTTTCAATACTATCTCTATTTTTCATTTTAGTTTCTTTTTTTTTTATCTCCATTTTCAAAGCATTCTAGCATTTATTAAAAAAAAAAAGTTTTGTTGGCCAACTGTCTCTAATACATTATTTTTCCCTTATGAAGAGCATGCAACATAAGAAAAAATGAGTTAAGAAATACTTTATCATTGTAATTGTGGGAGGCATTGCTCTTCACTCTCTCTCTCTCTCTCTCTTTCTCTCTCTCTCTCTTGGGGAATGCATTATTTAGTTAAACTAGAAAAGCCGGAGTGAACTAAAGAAATTTGGTTTCGTTCCAGTTCGGTTTCAAATATTATTCAATTTTTTATTTTAAAATCTCAATATTCAATTTTTATTTATTAATTCGATTTTAATTTCATTTAACAAAATAAATCAATATTTCAAAATTAAATGGATGATTCATGCAATTAAATCAATATCATGCATGTAAGATATAAAATTCTTGTTGTTTTGCTCATAACCAAACTCCAACTAACGACGATACTTTGATTTATTCTTAATTGACCTATTTAAACCAAATCAAATTTTGATCAATACTTTTTTTTTGGGTTTTCAAATTTTGGTTGCAATTGATTTGACCAATTTTAAAATTGATTCATCCAAACCAACAGAATGCACACCACAACCCTCTCTCACATTGCTGAGAGTTGGTGTTGAAATCTAAACAAAACATAGAAGTGACAAAATATATAACTATAACCGTTTTTAGGACTAAATCTCAATAAATAACTCTATTGACATTGATGAGCATATTAGGTATCAGTATAATATTTGAATAAAGTTTATGGGCAAACTACTTTTGAAAATAGTACTAATGAGGTAGTGTAGCTAATCAAAGTGGGTGGGGAAGAATAATGGAAAACATATGTAGTTTCTTATTCAATTCACAAAGCTCCTCAAAATTGCTTTTAGGGTTGAATGCTTATGGTAAGCTTAAGCATTTTATAATGAATCAATTAAGCATGAACTAAGTAGTAAAATTAAATAGTATAGATTGTTGGGATAAAAAACCTTACATTTCTACTGGGGCTTCCATCAAATTAGAAGTCAAAATCACACCAGAGTTTAGCATGAAAAACCACGAGAATGGGGAAAATGCCAAGGAACCGCACTGCCAAGAAATTTTTACTATAAAATTCATAAAAGTACAAAATACTCACCCATATCTCATCTCTACAATCGATTAAACTTGTTGAATTTGTTTCAAACCATTCCTTTTGATATCATTAAAGAAAATCACGTTAAAATCCTCACCTCTGACACTTCCCTAGTTTAAGAGAATTCTTGTTGAAAGAACCGCATGACAGAGTCTCACACTTGTTTCTCGAAATCCCATATTTAAGAAATTGTTTCAGGACAAACCGTCTGATTGCGTCGGTCATGCCACACATGAACGTAATTATTTTGCCCGTTTGAGAAGATGACGAAACGAGCGACCCTCGGCAATGTGCCTACGCCCATTTCGGCGTGGTTACACCAAACGACGTAGCTACGCTAGTTTCGGGCACGGCTAAAATAGACCCATGTGTAGGAACTTGCAACTTAGAGCTCCTGCGGCTGTGCTGCTGTTTCCTCTGATTGCGGGTGTTTCACACTCCACAACATAATATAGATGGGAATATTAATGTTATTAAGAGCTAAATGGTGAGAATCAGAGTTTTTGAATTCTAAAAGCTAAACGCAAGTTAAAATAACAACTGAAGGAAATCTTTATGGAATTCATCATAATTTCTACTCATAAATGGACGAAACTCGTCTTTGGAATCCATGTCTCTCATCTAAAAGTCTCTGCCTGCATTCTTCCACATACAACATTAATTCAAATCATGAAAATTATAACTGCTCTGCCATGAAAAGCTGCGCCAATTATCACTTTCAGCCCAACAAAAGTTGATTAAAGAAAATTTATCGTGATTCCATATCCAAGCAAAGAAAAACAGAGAAGTTCAGATTTTATTTTATTTTATTTTTTGCCAGACAAAGCCAGTCCTCGAATCCAGAATTGTCTATAGCCAACCTGCTACAAATTCGAGGAAGGAAAGTTAAGATCTACCACCATTTTTACAAAAACAGAACCTTTTCCCTGAAGCAGGATCCAAAAACTTAATCGCACGCCCAGAGAAAGATAAACAATCACGTTTAAGAAGACAGGATCAAAACCTCGTATTTGAAAACACGAAGACTTCATCAAAGAGAATGATTTTCCATAAATTACCTCTGCACAGAGTTACCAACAGAGAACAATAACAAGAACAAGGTCAGCAAGGCTAACAATGGCGGGGGGCGGCACCCCAACCAGAAAAAAAAAGCTTTTAGACAATAACTCCATTGTTTCTCAGAGAACAATCGAACTTCAAGTAATCCTCGTACATGAGAGAATCGAATAAGAAATCTCGGCTCAATCTTCATTTTTTGTCGGGAAAAGACTCAGAACTCTCCTCCCTGCTCCTCCAGAGCAAGCATCCATCTCAGCTCCATAAGAATCTGGCAAAGAAGTTGCCTTTGGTGGTTGCATCATAACCCCCATTCTGTGAAAACCAAACCGCTCTGCCCCTCCCCTTGCAAGCAACCCAAAATCACTAACCGATCCAAAATACCCCATTTGCCTCCGATGATAAAATAGCTGATTTTGCGCTGCCTCTGAACTCATCCGCTGATGTCGCTGAAAGAGAGGTGGAGATAGAAACGGCATATAATTCTCCTGCACAGATCCATCTCGGCGGATTAAAGGATGCGGAATGGGATAACTAGAGAAGAGATGCTCCATGGCGGCGTCGGCAGCGGAGATCGCCGGACCGGAGGCGGAGGAGCTTAAACCCTGCGAGCGCTTGAGATAAAGGCGGTACTTTTGAAGATGACTGGCGACATTCTCGCGAGTCAGACCATCTACGTTCATCAGCTGCATTATGGTCTTCGGTACAGCGTTCTTGACCCCGAGATGTGCGACGGCGTCGACGAATCGTTTGTGGAGCTCCGGCGTCCAAACAAGCCGCGGTTTTTTCAGGGCTCGTGCGGGCTCATCGTCGGCGTAGCCTGTAGAGATGGATTCCGGGGTGGTGGAGAGGGTTGCAGTGCTGAATTCCGGCGGAGGAGGAAGGGGAAATGCGGAGCTAGGGTTTGGGGTGGAGAGATTGAAGAGGAGGGCGAGGTTTGGGGTGATGAGAGATTGGGAGAGGGGAATAAGATCTTCTGGGCTCGGAAGCTCGTTCTCCCATTGAGCGAACCAGTTGGGTTCTACTGCTTCTCTCATGATCTTCCGGCACCACTTGCCTTGTTTCTCTCTGTAGAAGATGATACGAGGATTTGAGGGATGAGGGAATTGTGAGGAAGAGGAAGGGGAAAGAGAAGAGAGGAGAAAGGGGAGAAATTTGGAGAGGGGCTGGAGAGTTGCAGGGGAGGGGGAGATGGAGAAGGGGGAGAGCTTCGAGGTGGATCTTCTAGATTTGTCACTTCTGATTTGTTATTTTGTATTTGTTAGGCTGTTTGGTAACCGTTTTAAGACCCGAAATTAGCTGCTAAATCCAGGATTTATAAAATCTGATTTCTCCCATTTTTGTCTTAAAATTTCGATTAACGAATCCTATCATTGGCTAGATTTCTTTAAAATATATATAAAATGAGAAGTTCAGTAATTACTTTTAACAATCATTTCGTTAAATTAATAAATTACTAATTAATAATTATTGTAGCTAAAGGCAAGTAACATATAGGGCGTTTGTTTGGTACTTGGTAGCTTAGTTTTAATATAATTTAGAAGCGAAGTTAAGTTAAATCTCGCCAAATATAAAATAAAATAAAAATTACATCAAAGTCTCCAAATTTATTAATGTTAAGTATGGAGCCCGCTCCGCCCAACCCGCCTCCCGCTCCCGCAATGTCGCGACCACGATTCCGCTCCCGCCCCTTCTTTCGCGAAGCTTCTCGCCGGATCGTCACGCCTCCCTGCTCGATCGCGAAACCATTCCCAACTTCGCCTGCTCCTGCGCCGGCGAAGCGAAGATACACTTTGTCCGACGTCTCCCGCTCCCTTCTCGTGATAAAAGGTTTCGGATTGCTCTCATTGGGTTTTGAAGCACGATTTTGGTGTTCTTCTTCAGGCTTTCTCAGAATAGAAGAAGTAAAGTTCAAGCAGTAGTTTCTTGCAGCAAAAGGAAGAAGAAAGAAGAAGAAGATTGTTTTCCCTTGACTTCTTCTTGATAGCTTGTCGCAGAAGAGAGCTTGAGTTTTATTTCTCTTGTAAGTTTATCTTCTTCGGTGTATCTCGGTGTTGAGTTTTTTTTTTGTTTATCTCGGTGTAGAGAGAGAAGAAGAGAGAGCAACGAAGTGAGAGATTCCTCTTATAAGTCGAGACGATCAACTAGTATATAGTTCTATCTCACAACAACTAAATCCAATTATAGGGGATATTTTTGGGTGCAAGCTATATCTCCATCACACAAGAATTGATAAATCCAAATTTATTGGATATGATAAATATCTATTTAACATAAAACCATATTGCATCCCAATACCATTTTAATATAAGTTGAATTAATTGATTTAAATCCTAGAAGAAGTTTTCAGACAATTTCACCAAAATTACTAATTTATTTGAATTAAATCTCAAAAGCTGAAAAAAAATTATAATGGTAGGGTAAATACTTGATGTATTTGGGATTTAATCCTAAATTTCTTTTCAAAATCATTTAAGTATTCAGATTTTACATACATATTTATGTATTTAAATATCTAATGTCTGTTAGATATCTATATTTATAAATCTTTAATATCATAAATCTATACATTAAGAATATATAATTTACTTTTAAAAGTTTAACATATTAAAAATTTATTTTTCATATACTTAAATATAAAAACTTAAATCTTAGATAAGTAAATTCACAAGAACTATGTGACAAATATGTAAATTTCCCAATTACTATTTACCCTAGCAAAGAATAATGTTTTTTTTTATCAATTAAACTATTTAAGAAAATCTTTATTGGACTCATTTTTTATTTTTATTAGTATTCTTTTTTTTCATTTAGGTTAATATTTCAATTATAAAAATAAATGTTGGTTAGGTGTAGCTATTTATTTTGGATTTTAATCATTTCATATAACATGTGATAGTATTAATTATAATATAAGAGTGAGACTTACTTTCCAATAAATAAATAAATAGAATAAAATAAAATAAAATAAAATAACTGAAACTACCAAATATACTCATATGTCTGATGTCACATGGTTCTCTATTATTTTTATTTTACTATAATGAGATATTTCCTTATTAAACTATCTGACACCTAAAGTATCTCTTTCTTTTTCGATTTTTATTTCTAACCCTATAATTAGTATTTTATTTATTTCATTAATAATGGTAGATTATAAGAGGAATAATAGCCATTTGCAAGACAACATTTTGATACTAAGATTAACAACCACAATTATCTTCATTTTTGGGCTATAATTTACATAAATACCACCTAAGTCCTATGTATTTATATATCTAACACCTAAACCTTACTTTTTTATATTTATGCCATCCAAATCTTTCATATGGCATCAAAAGGACATTAAATAAATAAAAATTATGTAAAAACACCTTTTCATGCATAAGGTGGCATCTTTGTGTTAGATATGTAAATATAAAGGTGTGTTGATTAAAAGCAATGACCCTTAGCCAAGGCCTAAGTAGACCAAAGCATGTGATTATCTCAAAACATTCCATGTCCAAAGAATGATCTATTTTGATCATTTGATGTGGGACTTGAATTAATGGAGCCTCATACATAGTGCTAAAATAGTCCTCCCAAACTTTACAAATAACACATTTCTAATTTTTTTTTTTATTATACCATGTATTCATGTATGGTAGAAAATTCTAGAGCTCTGACTGCCATTTTGAGCTCTAGCTAGTTGCCTCTTAATTTTGGCTCATCCAATTTTGCCGCTTGAAAACTTTGACAGCCTTAGATTCTTCAGTTGGTAGGTCAGTCCTTTGTGCCATCAAATTATAACTAGTGGAATCATTTTAATTGAATCATGCATGTCTCTTAGATCGATCATTTCATTAACTTGGACTTTCCAACCTCTTATTTGTATATCTAGTTGAATTAATGATAATAATGCATAAGATTATTTTTGTATAGAACTTAAATCTCTATTTTCTTCTGATGATTTTATAGAAGTTTGATAATTATTCACGGTTATTTTAGTAATTCATTCACTGTATTGTGAAATAGACCCATTTGATTAAAGTTTAAATTTTGAGCTTCATCATTTGATGTTTTCTACAATTTTAGAATAATAAATATCAATCAATGCTACTAACATAAGCTTTATGGCTAAAAGCGACCCGTAATGTTATCATTAATTAAAGTTTCTCTAAATTAATGATTTAGCTCAAGAATATCAAATTGAATAATCTTCGTGCCTTCCAAATATATATGAAATGCGACATCATAAAATGCATGAAACTTTTTAGTATTATAATTCAAACATGAATAATAAATCTTATTTGACATTACATTCTCAATATATATGAGTGCAAGTATGCAAAACTGCTCCACACTATTAATAAAATCAGTTAATAAGTCATCATTATAGTTTAGCTAATAATACATTCATTTATAATCACTAGCTACATAATCCACATAAGCGCACTTAGTTAAATTAACTCTCAACTAATAAAATTATGAGCCCAAGACTTAGATCAATCATTTCATTAACTTGGACTTTCCAATCTTTTATAATGCATACAATTCTTTTGCATAGAGCTTAAATTTTTGTTTTCTTCTGATGATGTTATAGAAGTTTGAGAATTCTTCACGGTTATTTTAGTAATTCAATCATAGTGTAGTGCAATAAGCCCATTTGATTTTATATTTCAGTGAATATGTACTATTTAAATAGATAGTGGATATGCATGCACGATCTAAAATAACAATTATGACAATAAGAATAAATATAGATTATATTAGCCTAAAACTAACACAAATTATATATACCAACTTATGTAAATATATGATTACTAATGTAAAATGAAAATATGAATCATAATAAAAAAAATAAGAGAAATATGTCTGATACATATTTTTTAGAGAAGTATTAAGAAAAAAACATCCAGACCATAATACATCTACAGTTGAACATCTCATTGTTTAATAAATAGCTATTATTCTCATTGAATAGCTATGTAACTATGCAATGATAGAAGCTTCTTGATCCTTTCTCTTCTCAATATATTCTCTATTTTTTAAGAATATGTTCGAAATGTAATAATATTTCAAACGACAATGGTCTCTCTCCATTCACCATCAACACACGTTAGTAATATTATTTGTTTGATTTTCTTAGGACTAAATGTATTATTTGTCCTATAAAACATAAATCCAATACACCACTATATATTCCATATATCAAACGTAGAGTACTGACATGTTTTAAGTTATTTGCCATGCTCTTAATTTTATATTTATCAAACAATTATTGAGCCATCTTTAAATAATCTTCAAGCAATAATTGAAATGTGATAAAATATGATGCAATTACATGTGAGGATGAATCAAAGATTTGAACTATGTAAAAAAAAAAACAACTATTGATAAAGAAATTAGCCAAAGATGAATCAATTATCATTCAATCATTATTTAAAGATGGTTCAAAGAAAATTTGATCATTATTTGAAGATGCTTCCAACATTATATTGAAGGTTCTTATTATTTTTATTCGACTTTTATTCGATCATTATTTGAATAATATTTAATCATTATTTAAAAATAATTTGATATTTGATCAAACATAATTTAATAATTATTCAATGATACTCTAAACAAGATTTGACTTTTGTTTAATTTTATTCGATCATTGCTCGATCATTATTTCTTGCATCATTTAAAAATCATTGATTATGACTGAAAATAATTCAGTTTTTATTTGATTTTGATTCAAGGATACTTTAAAGTTGATTCAATCTTTACTTGCTCATAATTCAAAATTTGCCTTATCTTACTTGAAATATGATTCAAATATAATTCGATCATATTTTTAATCATTATCTCCTTAGGAATTGACTCATTTATGTTACATTACTATATATGCAGATGTTTGATCAAATTATATTAGTTAAAATATATTATATTGCTTAGCTTACATATAGGGTCGAAATGAGACTCCTTTCGTTTGTTGTTTAGAGTTTTTTAAAATATAATTTTTAATCCCATATTTCATCAATTATTATTGAGGATGATTAAAGTTGATGATTTCAACATGTTCAATACTAAGATGAATATAATATTTAAAATTATTGAATTTGTTTTTGGTCAATAGGCTACAATTTAGAGAATTTTCATCTCATGAGGAGTCATAGAATATAGGTTAAAGTAGTAGGTTGCTTGATAACTTCTTGAATGAGGATAGGGATTTCAAAAATATATGTATGATTGTAGAAGCATTTTCGGAGTGCACTAAAAAAGTTGATATGTCAGCTTTGGTTATGCCTTTTGTAAATGGATTCCTCATCGATTATAATACATGTAGTGTTATTTTTATAAAAAATGCTTTAATGGTTATTAATGAGAATAATTTTTCTTAAATATAGGGGATAGGTTGATAAGGGGGAAAATACTGAGTAGCTTAAAAAGAGATGGTGCATTGTGAAGTCACTACCTTGAAAAAGAATGCCCAATGCTAATATTAAAATTGGATATGTTCTATCATTGTAGCGTTAAATCATCTCAAAGTTGAGAAAGAGCCACGTTAAGTTACATGGGGAGACAACACCAAGGGTACTGAGCTAGAGGAGCAACAAGGGGGTTCAAATGCCAATGTTTTTTAAAATTGATGAATAAAGATATAAAAGTGTTTTCTTAGACATTATTGGGTGGTTATAATAATTTAAATCACATGACTTTCTTACTTATTCATATACTTTCCTATATTATACTAGAAGGAAGAATTTTATGAGTTCGTTGTACATAATCCTACTTAGTCTATCCTGGTTAGAGCTCTAACAAAAAGAGAAAACATCATTATTTTGAAAAAAAGAAGATAAAAAAAGAAATAGAAGTAAAATCAGTTGTAGGTTAGCCCATTCTATCGTATGAAGAGCTAAGGAAAAAGTTTTTTATTATTAATCAAGATTTACTAAGCCACCAACTTAGGCTTAAAACTAATCAGTCAAGGTTGGAGTAGAAATAAGATGCACTAAAAACTATTATTTAGAGACTTATATGTAGAAAGGACTACAAGAGAAAGGAGGATAGTGAGGAGGTGCTTGTTACTGGCCCATCCTTCAAAGCAACTGATTTTAGGGGCAAGATGTAGAGAAAAAAGAATGTGAATTAGAAGATGGAAAAAGAGAAGGTGGAGAATATAAAGAACCAATTATGAAGATGTCGACCCATGTATCATTATTATATATAAGAGTCATATATAATTAGTATGACTTTAAAAAAAAAGCACACAAGTGCAAAAAAATATTTGACTACAATTTTTACAAACATATCATAGAAAATATGCATGCTCATGGATCCATGTGTGATTGATCCCCTTTACCCCATCAATGAGGATCACTTATTTGCTTTCAACTTTTGATGTCAAGATTGGTTAACAACTCTAAAGAGGAGTTAGTTGGGGCAATGAAAAAAATGTGGCTTTAGCATTTGAGTATTCCAACAAATTGTTTGGTTGGTAAAATGAATAATATTTTACATAACTGGAAGTGTGAGCAAGTGGATCTTATTTATACGAACTTTAATTTCTATTTTTTAATTACAATATATTATTTTTTATATTTTTTAATAAGAGAGCGAATGTGACGCTATCTAAAGTCATGTGAATTAAACATTATTATGTTGGACAATGTGTTTGATTAAAGATATACAAAATTAAAAAGAAGAAATCTTTCGAGTGGTCTGAAATGTCCTATATATATCATTAAAGAGGAAGCTTTTGAAATCATGAGCTATTGCAATACTCAAATATTTTCTAATAAATTGGAATAAGATTTATCATGTAATCTTTGAGATTTCACTATCTATGAAGACTATGATTAAGCAGAGCTCGAGCCACCTTCTACTAGAGCTCGAATTCAATTAATTAATTGAGTTCTAGCTTAAGTTCAAACTTAATTTTCAAAAGTTTAAGTTAACTCATGAGCTGGTTCATTTACCATTAACGAGTGGAAATAATTTTGATTCAAACAACTATTATAATAAAATGATAGGAAAAATGAGCAATTTGGGAATTATAAATTGCTTGATATAAGACAATTGAGTATTAATTTTTGAATTTTTTTAATCACTTATACTTAAACTCATAAATTTTAATATATTTCAAGTAATCTTTTGTATACTTTCTTAATGGAACCAATTTATGAGATAATGAGTCGAGTTGAGGTTTCACTTGTTAGCTCAGGAGTCATTTATTACGCTAAGCACCGAGCTAGCTCATGAGTTGGCTTGATTTAGCTACACCCGTAGCACACTTCTTATAGACAAATGACATTGTTGCTAATAATTATTTACATATCACCTAATTTTTTGGCATAACATAAAAAATATCATTAATATTAATTTACTATGAAAATCATATATGTTGATATTATTCCAATATATATATCTCTGTCCCTCTCTGCCTCGTTTGTAAATAATATGCAAATTATATAAATAATCTGTAATATTCACTGAAAAATCCAACAGCGAAGAAATTTTGCATTCTACCCCCCAAGTGGATGGCCGTCTGCTAACCTATATATATATATATATTTAAAGCAGGAGTCATTAGTTTGCATCCATGACCTCGTCCTTGTATATTATCATTTCCTTGTAAGTTTGCATTGGAGAATCTTATAAATTTCGTCAATTCATTGCTTTCCATCACCTAACCAACAACCACACATCATGGGCCGCAACTCTGTGATTTGTGATGCGATTATTGCATTAATAATTATTTATTTATTTATTAAAAAAAAATAATAATAATCATTGTGCTCGACCCAATGAAATAATATGTTATCTATATAATTGTATGGTTGTTAAATTGATTTCAAAGGTCTTGTTCTAGTCTGACTTGAAATTGATCTGTTCGGAAACTGTTTGACAAAAACTAGACCCAAATTTTAAACTCATTAGAATGCCTAATTGGAACTCGGCAAGCTTCAACCTAAATGACACGAACACAACTAGTGAACATGTGTAGTACATGTGAAATAACTATTCAGTTAAAATTCAGGTCAATTTTGAATCAAGATTGAGTTAAATTTGAGTCAATATTGGATTGACAAGTCAAGTTTTAGTTGACAAGTCAGTTTGGGGTAAATGTTGGGTTAACAGTTTAACCCTGATTGTATTTAAATTTTTATCCAGTCCCACCTAAAATTTAATTTGGTCAAACCAAACCCAAATTTTTTTAGTTAGGTTCCAGTCGATTTGGCATTTTGGATCAATTTTTATCACCCCTTATACGTGAGATTATAAAAATCATCTCCTCCCAACAATCATAGATGACAAGATTATGAATTAGAGAGCACTTGCAAATCTCATAAGTTTGTGGTACAAATGTTTAAAAGTGATGATAGCGATCAAGCGACAATAATGAGGAGAAGATAATCGGGAGACAACAACCAAATTATGATAGGAAGACAATAAGACAATGACAATAGAATAATAATGTCCTATTAATAATGACTAGCAGCAAAGATGATTGGATAATGATAGTTAGAAAATGATGAATAAGCTAAAGTCTGCATTAGTGTTTGTGTTAGCGATAGGATCCGCCATATTGGTGATGATGAACACTCGCTTTAGTGTCGGCAATATATATCGTTGTTCACAACAACCATTGACATGAATGTCGACAGAGAGCATCGAGTTTGATGGCATTGGTAGCAATAGTGAGTATTTACCATGATTTTATTCTCCATAGCTTGGAGGCATTTAATGTATTTTATATCTTCAAAGAAGAGATCAAAGAGGTTAAATTCTCACACATGCACAATTAGAGTCGGAAGGGTAAATGCCTATGTGGATGAGAAACGGGCCATAATATTATTAGAGCGGATTGCTATTAAAGTTATCAAGAAGACTCCTATAGACTTTCTAAAAAACATATAAAAAAAATGGAGTTCATTTTAGAACATTTTTTAGAGTTTTATGTTATATCTAAGAAGTTCAAAATCTCTGAATTGGCATGAAAATGAAATTAGATCAAGCATTCATAGGCATGATTTTTTTCTTTATCTTTAAATTTATTATGTATATAGAGGTAATTTTTGTTTAATCTTCTGTGACAATTTTTTTCTGGTGATTATATGTAAACAATAAATAGCTTAATGTTATGATGTTTTATCATACATTTTATAGCAGTTATCTTTAATATATATGTTTTATCTATAAATTTAAGTGATTTTATATAATTTTTTAAGTATATTAGAAACATGTATTTTAATATCAATTAATTTGTTCTATATCTAATACCACTAATGAAAATTTAACATAAATATTTAAAACTTATACTTAAATAAATAAAAAAGAACCAGTATTTTTATACCCTAAATATATTTTTTTATCTCTATTTATAATATTTTTCCTTGTATATATATATATATATATATTTAAAATCTGTTGTCTAATAAAATGTTTTAATTAATTTTATTATTTTTTACCCTCTACACTCATTATACAGTTAATTTAATTTAATTTAATTTAATACATAAATAATTATCTTTTTATAATTATATTGAAATTCACAATCTACTCCCTTGGCGACCTCCGGAAACCTCTATGCTCCTCCATCACTCTGTCTCCACCGTCGCGAAGCACTCAGCACCCTCATTAAGCTCCCTCCACCAACTCATCCTCCGCTCTCAGTCCCTCTCCCAAACCAAACAATCCCACGCCCATGCATCCATATCCGGTCTTCTCTACCACAATCCATCCTCCATGGCCGCTCTTATCATCTCCTACTCCACCTTCAACGACCCCATCTCCTCCCTCCGCCTTTTTCGCCTCAACCCCCTCAAGCCCCGAAGCGCATTCCTATGGAACTCTCTCGTCCGCGCTCTATCTCGCGCCGGCCTCAATACCCAATCTTTTTCCGTTTACAACTCCATGATCCAGAGCTCCGTCTCTCCTGACAACCGCACCTTCCCCTTCGCTCTCTCCGCTTGCTCTGCGGCTGTTTCTTGTGATGTTCGAGCTGAGGACAAGGGGAAGGAGCTGCATGCTGGTGTTGTAAAGCTGGGGTTTTGCTCTGATGTCTTTGTTGGGAATACGCTAGTAGCGTTTTATGGCGCGTGTGGGGATGCAGGAAGTGCGTGCAAGGTGTTTGATGAGATGTTTGATAGAGATATTATTTCTTGGAATTCGTTGATTTCTGTTTTTTTTAATAATGAGTTGTATTTTGATTCGATGAGTTGGTTCTGTCAGTTGGCGAGGTTAGGATTGGGAGTTAATTCGGTCAGTGTTGTTAGTGTTCTCCCTGCAGCTGGAGCAGTGCAAGATGGCATTTTTGGTGCTGGGATACATGGCTATGCGATTAAGGTTGGTTTGGATTTGAATGTAACAGTCGGAAATGCTTTGATTTGTATGTATGGAAAGTGTGGAGAGTTGGAGGATTCGGTGCGAGCGTTTGAGAGCATTATGGTTAAGAATGATGTTTCATGGAACTCCATTATAGGAATTATTGTTCATGCCGGGCTTTCTGAAGATGCTTTAGAGATGTTTAAGGAAATGTTGCTGTACAGTGGAATGGAACCTAATGGCATAACAATTGCTAGCCTGCTGCCATTAATTTCCTTTGAGCTTCTTCATCTCGGGAGAGAAGTTCATGGATATTGTGTCAAGCATGGAATGGATTCTGATGTATTTGTTGCTAATTCGCTATTGGATATGTATGCAAAATGTGGGTTTTTGAAGAAGGGGGCAACTATTTTCAACAGGATAAGTAATAAAAACGTTGTTTCATGGAATGCTATGATATCAAACTGCACCCAAAATGGAGATGAGATGGAAGCAATCAGGTTAGTTGGTGAAATGCAGCTTAGTGGGGAAGCTCCCAATGCTGTCACCTTCACAAATGTGCTCCCAGCTTGTGCTAGAATATCATCTCTAAACAAGGGAAGGGAAATCCATGCCAGATCTATCCGAGACAACTGCCACATTGATTTGTTCGTAACCAATGCTTTACTTGACATGTATGTCAAATGTGGCCGGCTGAACCTTGCGAGAAATCTCTTCGACGTATCGGAGAAAGATGAAGTTTCTTATAATGTGTTAGTACAGGGTTATTCTCAGAGCGATTGGTGCTTAAAAGCTTTGAATTTGTTTCAGGAAATGAGAGTTAGGGGGATGAAATATGACACTGTTTCCTTCATGGGAGCCTTAGCAGCTTGCGCCAATCTTCCTGCGCTCAAGCAAGGAAAGGAAGTTCACTGTTTTATATTGAAAAAACATATTGAAACTGATCTTTTTATCTGTAACTCAATATTGGAGATGTACAATCGATGCGGGAGGGTGGATCTGGGAAGGAAGATTTTTGACAGATACCCAAATAAGGATGTGGCCTCATGGAACTCAATGATAATTGGCTATGGATTGCAAGGCGATCTTGCAACTGCTTTGGATTTATTTGACAGAATGGGAGATGGTGAAGTAGGCTATGATCATGTATCATATGTGTCGGCCTTATCGATCTGCAGCCATGGCGGATTAGTCGAGCGAGGAAAGAGGTACTTTGATCGATTATTAGCTCAAAAAATGAATTTGACACAAATGCATTGTGCCTGCATGGTCGACCTCTTTGGCCGAGCGGGTCTAATGGATGAGGCTGTTAGCTTCATCAAGGAGATGCCTTTTGAAGCCGATTTCAATGTATGGGGGGCGCTGCTTGGGGCTTGTCGACTTCATGGGAATATTGAGACGGGGAGGTGGGCGGCGGAGCATCTTTTCAGACTGAAGCCGGAGAATAGTGGGTATTATGTATTGTTAGCCAACATGTATGCTGAAGCTGGAAGATGGGATGAAGCAGATAAGATAAGGAAACTAATGAAATCAAGGAGTGTGAAGAAAAATGGAGGTTTCAGTTGGATTGATAGTGGGAAGAGGCAGAGGGCTTTGTTAATGGGAGAATTGGGAGAGGGAGGTGAGGACGGTCTGTGCACTGATTCTAATTGTATCTGATGTTTTCAGAGATCAAGAAATAGAATCACACCTCTTTGGCCAGAAATTATTTTTTGGGAGCTTTACGTACATACAGCTCCATTCTTGTGCATTTACATATCTAACACCAAACTTCAATTTTTTAAGTTAAAATAGTGGTACTTTCGATATGATCTGAAAGATTTCGGATGTGTAAGTGTCAAAAGTAATGTTTAGGTGTTAGATATGTAAATATATAGGAATTGGGTGATATGTATGTAAATGTGCCTATTTTTATGACAAACACAGTTCTTTGGGATTATTCATTTTGTTTCTAAACAATGTGTTGCAAGTTGAAGTGCCTTTGGCTGGAATTAGTTGTCCAAACTATGTCAATTGAATTTGGAACAAACCGAGCAAGAATGCAAATTAAAATGAATTTCCTTGGCAAAAGAAATAAAATTCAGGTCTGTTTGTTTTACAAGTTGAAATATTTATGTGTATTTCATATGATATTTAAATAATTTAACTCATGCTTATGTTGTGCAGGTGAAGTAGTCCTTTGTGAGAGGATGTCAAGCTCTTTGCTCATTAAAGATCACAAGCAATCTGAAGCAGACTATAAAGGTAATTCGCCATAAATTTGATACCTTTTAGATGCGTTAAAACTGACATTTATAGTATATAATCAATTTATAGGAAAAATAATTATGTTAAGAGTGAAAGTAAAATCATATATTAAAAACCTTGTTTACTTTTTTTTTTTTAAGTTCTTGGGCATTTACATACATATCGCACAATTCTTGTATATTTACATATCTAATACCTAAACATTCATATTTACATGCATACTGCTCAAATCTTTTAACATCACATCAAAATTACCACAATCATATCTTTGTAAAAGTGAAATACACATTTTCATGCATAAATTTATGACACCAAGGGGTCATAAATATAAATACCAAACCTTGGGCATTAGATATGTAATTGCTTAAGAAGTGTGTGATATGTACGTAAATCTCTCTTTATAACAATCTATATCTAGGATAAGGCGCACAAAATCATGCACACACGTTTCAGGGTAATGTTTCCTAAGGCAAGTAATATGAAATATGTTGTATGCTCAAAATCCTTAAATCAGGACCGAAGCTGAGTTCTTAATTTCATAGGATAGAATTTCTGAAATAAAACATCAAATTGCTATTATGATAAAATAATGTATGAATTATAACTTAACTAGCACCGATTCCTTACTTATAAATGTTGATATGCTAGTTAAGATGTGAGCAAACAATTGCACGAATCTTTATTTGATTAATATCAGAATAATTGTATTAGACAGAAATCTCCTATGTTTTTTTTCTTCTTTAGGTTGTTTGCTAGTATAGAACTGCAGTACTTCCTTTCCAATGTAAATTTTGATTTTAATTTCATTATAATGTTTCCAATATAATTGCTTTATTTGCAATTTTGTATGAATCTAGGGCTGTCAAAACGGCTTGTTGTTCGCGAACAGCTCGTGTTCGGCTCGTTAAGAAGCTCGTGTTTGGCTCGTTAATTTTTTTCGATAAGTTAAAGAGCTGAACACGAACTAAGATGTGTTCGTTTGTGTTCGGATACTACTCATCAAGTTTATATATATATATAGAACACAAACATTCCTTGAGCTTTGTTTAAAAATGAGTCGAATATGAACAACTTTTTGTTCAATCATGTTCGACTCATTTTTGCTCGAATTAATTAAATAATAAAATAAGTAATATTATATAACATTTTTATATTGATTTTTTATGTTTTATTTAAAAAAATGTGAAATTTTGTTATTTCTTGTATCATGCGAGCTGATTTTAAGATCAACACGAGCTGAAAAGAACAAGCGAATTCAAATCAAGCCAAAATCAACCATGCTAATCACGAGACACTTCAAACATGAGGCTATTTTGAACAAAAATTTTTTTGAATGAGCTGAACATCGAGCTGAGCATGGCTCGCTCATGTTCAGCTCGTTTACACCTCTATATGGATCTATGTAGAGTGAGTTGTATATTTTTAAATTTTAGATGTTATATGATTCATTTAATTTCTTACAATTGTCATTTTGTCGTAGGAGATGAATTTAAATCAATCTTCAAGCTCGAAAGACATTAGATTGCGTAAATTTTATTGTGACGGTAATTTAGAATGTGTGGGGTGTTTATACCTAATAAAGGCATGAATCGTTGAAGAAGGTTTTATAGGTGTTGAAGATATCGTTCGGTGGATAACTATGACTATTTTAAATTGATTGATGAAATGGATGATGTACATGATTTTGAAAGAAGATCGATTGAGGAGATGGTGACGAAAAGAAATTATGACTTTAATTGTATTATTCTTTGTTTTCATTGCTACTTTTAATATTGTCTGTAATTTTGGTTTTGATATATTTTGTGTATTATGAAACATGAACGATGTAATTTTAGTTTTGATTTCTTTGATGTATTTTACAATATGAACAATGTAATCAATGTTCATTAAAAATATATGTTATGTTTTGGGTTTTTATGTAACATTTAGCTTTTGTGTCTAATACCTAAACTTTCATTTTTATATTTGTAACACTTTTAGTTTGTTTATGTAGTTGAATGAAGTAATAATGAGGTTTTTTATATAATATGAAAGATTTGAGTCTTGCATATATAAAAATTAAAATTTAGATGTTATATATATATATATATATATATATATGCATATAAATTATGTGGTATGTATGCAAATGACCCATAAGTAAAATTATAACCCCCCAATAGCCAACAAAACATGAAGAGTAAAATACTAATTATCTCAAAAAACTCAATAGAGAAGTACAATCTTTTTTTCCTCTACTTTTTTGTAGATAAAAATGTGAGACTAAATAAACAAAAGTTAAAGGACATATATGGAAATTGCGCCTAAAGTTAAATCTTATATGAATGTAAGCAAACATCAGTTTATTCCCATAGTTGTTATATGCTTTGCTGAATGAAAGCTAGTATTGAACAAGCATTGATGAAGTCAGTAGCATAATTGTTGGTACTCAAAATACGCCCAAAACTGAAACTCCAACAAGCAACAATACTTCAAAATTTAAAAGCTGTCTAGTTTGGAAGACATGAGAACTTTCATGCTATAACAAAAGTTTCAGCTTTTGATAATTATTGTATTGAATGTTAATAAAAATAATTATTTGAATATTTTGATTCAAACAATCTAGTGGGATAAAAGCTTGTTTTTGTTCTTGTTGTTGTAATGATTCAAACAATCTAGCCCTGCTAGATAAAAATTAACTCTAAAAGCGGCTCACAAGTTGCACATTGACAAATGAAGAAAAAATCGGCTGGAGAATGTTATGAGATTCAAGTCTTTAACTAGTAATCCAGAATCTGCAAAGTTGAAATTTCTTTGTTGGTGTTAGTTGCAACTAGATGTAATGAATAGATATGACACCTCCATCTTCATCTTCTTCATCATCTCATTATAGAATGAATTTCTTATTCTAAGAGATTAGGGGACAGATGTAGTGGCATCATTGAAAGCCGATAAGTTCAATCCAGCAGCAACAGCAAAATAATTATGTAATTGAGCCTTCAATAAGAACTGATTCAGCCATTTTAAACCACAATTTAAAGTTGGATATTAGGTGTTATAGATATAAATATATAGGATTTAAGTTTTTAAGTGTATAAATACACTGGAATGGCAAAATCTGTAAGTTTCATGTATTAAGATTTAGGTGTTAACTGTGTAAGCACACAAGAATTAGAGAAAATCAGCAATTTCATGTATAGATTAAGTGTTAAGTATGCAAATATATAAGAAGTAGAGAATCAATAACTTTATGTTTATGTATTATGTGTTAAATACATAAGATTTAACAAAATCAGCAAATTTAAATTGGAAATTTGAGTGCTATATATGTAAAAACAAGCATTGATTGGTATGTATGAAAATCATCCTAATGTTCAAAACACAAGCTAAGAGATTTATCATAAACTAAAATTTTTTAGGCTGTTTCAAGGAAATTGAGAGATGAAATTGGATTGGGAAGTTTTTGAGCTTGTTTTAGAGTGAAGTAGGCTGAGGAGGGACTTTGAAAGGAAGCGAGGGAATCTGATAAATTCTGAACTGAACTGGATGTTCTCTGCATTGATCTCAGCCTCCCCTATAAATTCTGATAGGGGGAATCATATTTTTGAATAGAAGGTGCTCTGTTCTAATCAGTCTTTTTTTTTTTCCTCATGCATACTAAGTAATGAAATACTATATGTAATTTGATACAATTGTTTTATTATGATAGAAGATGAACAATAATGAAAAATCCTTTTTGTATTTTTAGTTGGAGGAATACAAATGCAGCCATGATATAATCAATATTATTTAATATGCTTAAACAAAACTAGCAAATTGGACGATGTCAAAAAAAAAATCCCAAAAAGTGTCAAAGATTGAAGAATTACAAAAAAAATAGGAATAACTACAAAAAAACAAAATCTTTTCCATATAACTCTCACAAACATAAAGATCAAAGATTTTCTTGCGAGAAATGCAAGCCCGACTGATTGAGTGGATTTTTATATGTAGTGTTTTGGTGACCAGAGATGCTGCAACGTCCACACTTGTGAATCCTTTTTTATCTCTGCCCGGTCTTCTCTAAGAAACTCTTATTTATTCTTTTTTTTACTTCGGTCTTTATCTTGGACGCAAACTGTTAGGCACACTAACGTCAACACCATCATCGACTTCACTCTATTCATCTTCCCTGAAAGAGTACAACTAGGATCTTCATATTCCATTATGTACCTATAATTAAAATACTAAAATTAATTACATTTTCATTTATAGAGATATAAAATAATAATTTAATAACTATAAACCTAGTGTCATGGTAGCAGTCATTAACATAAGTATGTCACAACGAATGTTCTTTGATGCCAATAACAAGTGCAATATGAATACATGGTAACACAGTCATTTGCCAAGCTTTGCAACTACATTCTCTCCTTTCAAATATTTACTTCATATCCATTAAAAGATAATTTAACCTCAGCTGTGTATGGTGTTGATTGGCCTACAAGATATTGGATTTTTCTGATACTAGTATTTCTTATGTAATCTTCTACACATGACACTAGTTCACGTCTACATGTAGATGAAGTTAACTTCCTCTCTGCCCTTAGTTTCATAAGCATTGCTCTCAGTATATCAATCAAATCAACCACAGACTTACTCCTAACCTCCTCAATCCATGCATTAAAGAATTCAATTATATTATTAGTATTGTAATGATTTCTCATCTCAGGTAAGAAATCGCTTCTTGACCGCTTGTCAGACAAACATAATAAGAGTAAATCTGTGGGCATATACTGCATAACTCATTAAGATTACATTCAAATTTATTTTTAGTATAAATATTAGCAGCTGTCCACACTAAACTTTTAATCATTTGATTGTCATTACATCGAAAAAATTTCTTCAAGTTCTTCCATAGATGACATAGACAAACCCTATGTTCCACATATGGAAATTTGCGTGATTGCATTTTCTAAGCCCTTCTTCATATATGATATATATGTCAAGTTTTGTAAGTTAGTGCCAATTGATTCTGCCAAATTTTCTAAGAACCTCTTCCACTAGTTCTTTAACTCAGATTCCTCTAATACAAATGCAATTGTAAATAGACGAATTTGCAGATAATAGAATAACCAAGAATTTTGATTTTAAATGACAAACATCAAGGTTAATCAAATATGTTGTATGTATAACCTGCTTAAAAACTATCAATAGAAACCTTAAAGCTCACATAGAATCTATGGAATGATGAATCATATCTATCACAAGTATATGTAATGTGGTCCCAAATTTCTTTTAATAAGCTCCTCATGTAATGCTGGTACCCATCTGTAATTATCATCAACCGACCCAAAAATGTTCTTGCGAGCTAGTTCTCTTGACCTCCCTAATCTTATATGATAAAGGCAACCCATATGTGCACTCTAAGTTGTTCTTAATCTGCTTTGTGAGTGATGTCCGGATTTTTCTTAACAATATCTTCAATTTCATTTGCTACCCACGTGGTTGTTGCTAGTTTATAGCCTATTCTATTCACACCTGGGCATGAATGTGTTAGTTTTAATTTTCACACCTCAAAGATTTCGCCATCTCCACATATAGCTACAACACTAAATTGATTATAATGTGTAATCTTCACGCCAAAGTTCCTTTTGATGACATTAGATTTGAGAGCTTGTTTGAAACTTTATAAATTACGATAACATGTCTCAACCAATAAATCTTTATCATCCCTATCTTTGCTTATTACAAACTCCTCACCACAAGCATATTGATCGATGCAAATATTATGAATACTATTACATCTAGAGTGATTAACACGAGCTCAGGGTGGTGCATGATAACAAGCATCAGCATCAGCCTTTGTGGCGAGTCGGGCAACATTGAGTATGAGAATAAGGATGCGAGATATATATATATATATATATATATATATATGAATTAATTTCATTTTAATTATCTCTAAAAGGAGATCTGAGCTTCATAACTCGTAAAATAATGAAAAGCAATATTAAATAAATTTGTGATGGTTCGTTTGCCGGTGTCTTCCCAATACAAGCTTGCATATTTCTTTTTTTGGCAGATTTACATACATACCATTTCTTATTTATGAACAAATCTAACACCTAAACTTCAATTTTTACATATATGTCACCTTATCTATGCATGAAGATATGTATTTTAATTTTTAAAATTCAAAATAATAATATTTTTATGATATATGAATAATTTAGCTGGTATAATAATAAAAGATAAAAGCTTGGTTGTTACATATGCAAATACATAAGAATTTGGTGGTATGAATGTAAATGACCCCTTCTTCTTTAGCCCGGTTTGAGTAGGATTTATGTGATACTTAGCGTAAATGCAACCAACAAAAAAAATCAAATAAATTAAATCTGCAGTTTGCTAAATCAAATTTTTCTTGGTTTCATTACGATTTATTATATCCGATTATTACGTGAATTTCACAGATTTAGCTCAGACAAAATCATAGGAGTGTATTTATGCCAAACACCATGAACTAATTTAATAGATTTAACCTTAAAATTAAACCTAACATTATTCTAGATTTAATTCATTTGGATTTGATAAATCCGGATTTACCGACTTTACTAAATCCTATTTAATCTAAATCTTGTAGGCAGCCAAACACCCACTGAAAAAAAAAAAAAAATCTATACACAAATTTATATTGGAATCAACTTTGATTATACAGACCAAAATCTATTGCATTTCTCTCTTTTATAGCCCACAAAAAATAAGTATCCCTCCACATCTATATTAAAACTTAGATTACAAAAAACTTAAAAACTAATCACAACTACAATTCAGTGTAATATTCACAAAGAAATCCAGAAAAAGAGTAAGAACATGAACTGCAACTCTGATATAAAAAACCATGCCTTTCTTTGAACACAACTATAAAAAATCAGAAATAGAGGCAACCATGGCCAGTCTTTAACTTCAAACACTCCCCTTACAAAAATGAAGCATTTTTAAGATCCAAAGTAAATTTCATGTCATATAATATTTAATAATCTTGGAAATGGAACTTTAAAACATTTTACAGTAAAGTTACACAAGCAAACAAAAGAAATTCTGAAGAACAAATCAGGCTTAAAAAATAAAGTTCTTAACTACGCCCAAACCCAAAGTTTAACTATATACAAGGTCAGCAGTGATAATCCACTGCATCGTAAAAGCACTTAACAGTATAATTTATAAAGAAATTTCACAGTATTTTTGCTCCATCATTTGTTATTCTAAATAATAAGGAGCATATTAACTCATATCACATATTGTTCATCCCATCGATTTTTGCGCAGCATATTTGATCTACTGGTTAGATACTTTTCTTCAGGCATAAGTTCTTGAGTTTAAGGCATAGCACATGGGGGTTTGTGTGATGAAAAATAAAAAAAAAGGAAGATTACATAACACTCAATTCCTATGCATTTACACATCTAACACCTATACTTCAATTTTTACATACATGCCAGTTTACCTATGCATGAAACTGTGTATTTCACTTTTTAAAAGTTGGGGCGGCGATATTTTTTATGTGATATGAAAGAAAAGTTTGGGTGTTGGATATGTAAATACATAGCAATTAGGTGGTATGTATGTAAATGCCCCATTAAAGTTTTATATATAACTCTACACCCTAGCTTCAATTAGGTGGTATGTATGTAAATGCCCCATTAAAGTTTTATATATAACTCTACACCAAATGCAAACTATAAACCCTGTTATAAAAGTTGCCAACTTGTGCTTAAAAGGTCAAGTTTTTATATATTTCTTTTTTATTCTGATCCCAAATAAAACTAAATAACACGAGGAGTGCTCGATAGTTAGCACATACCTTAACAGAAGCCTCCGTATCAAACTCTTCCTTTAATTATAGGAAAATTGCACTTTACTGCCACTCTTCAAAGTATAGTGTTTGCAGCCGATCCTGAAGAATGAAGACTGCTGAAACATATCAAAATACAGCTACAGAACCAGCATCAATGAGAAGGAATTTGCTTTTCTGGCATTTACACGCACACTGCCTGATTCTTATGTATTTACATATCTAACACTTAAACTTAATTTTTTACTTTTATACCGCCCAAATCTTTCATAACTCATCAATACCACTACTTTTAAAGGGTGAAATGCGCATTTTCTTGAAGTTGGGTGTTAGATAGCTAAATACATAAGAAATAAGTGGTAAGTGGGTAAATCTTCATTTACTTTTAAGAACAGTAATTCTCAGTTTGATGTTATTGTTGGTGGCACAGAACAGAAACACAAGATAGGTCTTCATCTATCAGCCACATTTCCATATAATCAAGCCATCTCTGCGCGGAATTCAGATCCACATTCCCAGACCAAAATACCATTTTGGTTCCATTTTGGATTGTTTTGTTCAACCCATCAGCACCCGCTTCAACACCAAATTTCAACTCATCAAACAAACACACATCAACAATACCAGAATCTTCAAGGACCTTTCTAGCAAAATATGCGAAATGTTTGTAATTTGTAGAAGCCAAATCACCTCCTTCTACCGATCCAGCATGTGACACAAGTTTAGAGATAAAATCATCATCCCAAATCTTCGACGATACTCGAGATTTCTTCACAAATACCATTTCCAAATTCTTCGCAAAGAGAAAACTACAGGCGGGATTAGGAAGCTCAAAGAAAATGTCCCTCAGAGGAAGAATGTTCCCGTCAATCACCCACGTTTCATGCCCTAATTCGAGACATCTTTTAACAATAATGGATTTGGCAAGTATCTCTTTCATTTTATCCGTTCGGGATGGTTCGGAACGAACTAATTCGTAACTTCCTGTGTTTATTAACTTCTCGAAATCAATGACTGGATATCCGTTTCGGGCGAGATCACTGATGAGTTCGAACGGACCACCGATGAAGATTACATTTCTCATATTAATCTTCTTGAGATGACAGCGCAGATTTTTAGCCATCTTCTCTGGGGTTCTGTACAAGCTCACAATTACAACAGGTTTTTGTTTCTGCATGGAGTAAAGAACAGATCCAAGTTCATCATAGCTCCTAATAAATCGCCATGGCACAACTTCTCTAAAGCAAAAATCATACCATTTCAATTTTTTCAGAGATTGCATTTCCCAAATGTTAAAATCAAGGGGTTGTTCATGCAACAAATTTGAATCAGGACCTGCTGTTTTGCCATAATTTACACCTGCATCTCTGTGGGAGATAGTGAGGGCCCTTTCATTCAGAAAGTTTGTATAGATATTGTAGTAACCCTTAGCATGGATAAATTTGATAAACCATGGAGTCCATATCCTCTCTCCCATTCTTTTGTACCACCCTGTTGTCACCTGCAAACACTATCATAAGCAATATTAAAAGCAAGGACGATTGCATAAATACGACACAATTTCTATATATTTCCATATCTAACACCTAAAATTTGCTTTTTTTATTACATTTACAGCACTTTACCTATGCATGAAAAAATACATTTCAATTTTTAAAAGTCAGTAGTATATTTTTTATGTGATATGAATGATTTAAGTATTATAAATGTAAAAACTAAAGTCTAGGTATTGGATATGTCAAGACATAGGAACTTTGTGGCATGTATGCAAATGGCCCTAATAGTAATTGCACGGATTCCATAAAATAAGTTCTAAATAGTCCCTTGCCTTCTTTATTACTGCATGAAGTCAATAAAATAAATAAATAAATTCAAAGTTTTACTGGGCTAGAGAAGAAATTACCATGCCTTGCAAAATTGGTTTTGCACCCTTCACTTTGTGTTCATCGTACCACAACCGAAACTCTTTCCATGGTTTTGGAAAGAGAAGCTGGCCCCATGTACCCACCATCTGGTAGAGAAAAAGACGTGTTTCGCTATCCACCTGTAACTTGTTTCCATGTTTACCTATTCAGTAACAAACACAAAATGTGTAAATGGTTGAAAAAATCAGACATTTCCCAAGTTATTTTGCAGTTTTGAAAATTTATAGTATGGAAAATCGTTGAAAATATTATGAATCGTAAACCATATTCACAATCATCATCCACAGAAGATGAATTCACCATCATCAGTTCTCTGCCAACCATCCCAACAGATTAAAGTAGTATTAATAGCTTAAGGGAGATTTACAAACATATCACATAATTCTAATGTATTTAGACACCAAAAACCCAAAATTTGATATTGCTTATATAACACTTAGTGTTATAATCACATCAAAATATATGCATGAAAAAGTAGGCTCCAATTTAACAGAAGGTAATATTAGCGGTGTGATATTAGGGATTTGAGTGTTGGATAACTAAATAGTAAAGTTTAGATGTTAGATAGGTATATACTAAAAAAATAGTGTGGTATGTATGTAATCAAACAACCACAAGGAGAAGTACACCAAAATACTTATGAATATTCATTCTTACAAAGTGAGCACTCCACATTTTCATGGAAATGTGAAATGCATTACAATTCATCAAATGGTGCATGAAAAGTTTCAGCAATGTTCAGGCTTTTTTTACCTGCGAAATGTTTCCTACAGCAAAAAATGACTCACTAACGTCATTCATCACCACTTTTTATGCATAGATAAGGTGCATATATGTAAAAATTAAAGTTTAGATCTTAGATATGTAAATACATAGGAATTAAATTGTGTGTATGTAAATCTTCCATTAAAAAAAATCATACCTGCAACAAACCTGGGCCTCTGCAAGGAGGCCCCATAGATGAATGGGCTGTAGTTAGACAAGTCATAGTAATAGTTAAGAATCAGAGCCTTGAGATACTTGTAGTAGAGCAACGACACCTCCAGATCGTCTTCCACAATGAAGGCAAAATCATCATCGGAGATAGGCCACCATGCCTCCAACCACTGCGCCTGTAATCCAACATTCCCCGTCCTGTAATGAACGAGCTTCTCCCCATGGACCCATCCTAGCTCGTCAACAAGATCTAGAATCCTGCGCGATTCCTCCAGTTTTCCATCCATCAGCGCATCAGAGCCGTTGACGGCGGAAAAATGGTCAACAAGGATGTGAAGATTAACGCGATCGCCGGCGTAGTCTGCGGCGGCGAGGGAACGGAGGCAGCGGCGGAGGGACTCAATGCGGTTAAAGGTGAGAACTTTGACTGTGAAAGAGAAGTTATGATGTAGAATATTAGTGTTCCGTGGATTGAAGGTGAAGTGATTAGGGCTTTCGGATTGGGGTAATTGGATGGAGGAGTGGTAGTGATAGGAGAAGAGAAGGATCGCGGCGAATGAGAAGAGGAAGAGGAGAGGGCAAGAGGCTTGCCGGGGAGGGATGCATTTTGAAGGAGTTAGGGGCTGTTTGGTCACGAATTTAGAGCAGGATGTAAGCTGGATTTAACCTAAAGAAGACGTGGGGTTAGCTTGATCAATAGTTTCGGGTAGGAGAGTAGGGGAAGGAGGAGAAAAATGGGAGTTTCGGGTCTCTGTAAGCAGCGATCCCGTCGTTGTGTTCTCAGCTAGATCCATTGCTACTGTATCGCGATTGTTTTGGATGAAACAGAGAGCTAGAGGGAAATGCGAGGGTTTTCGGGGAGAGAGCAGCGCAATGGTTTCGTTAATTTAATTTTATTAATTTAATTGATTCATAATTAATAATAAATTAAAATATTTTCAGATTAATTATAATTAAATAAATTTATATTTATCGTTTAGTTAATATTTAATAAAAAAATAAAATATTATTTTTTAATCATTCAATAAATTTATAAGTATTTATTAATTATTTATTTTTTATAAATGTTCAACTTCTATTAAATAATTAATTTAATAAAATTTATAGTAATAATTAATTAGCTTAGTAAAAATATAATTATTAATTATCATAATTTGAAATAAAATATTGATTGAATTTAAGAAACTTGTAGATTTTAAATATTTGGATTGTTTTAAGAAGTCAAATTTACATGATCTATTAAATCTTATTTGAAATTTTAGTTAAAATCTAATGATTGTAACATGATTTCGAATTTACATGAAGAGATATAGAAATGTTTGAACAGTAAAATATCAAAAGTTCCATGATAAAATGTTTTAATATACCATGAACTCTTTGATATTTAAAGTGTAGCTAACATAATGTATTTATAAACTTCCAAACAAAGTTTCTCTCTCACTCATGATTTTAAAAATCACATCAAATCCAATGATTCAACTATGAATTCATCCTCCCAAAGGTTTTAAAAAGTTTAGGATAATTACATATATAAATCTTGAAACTTTGTCATTTACAAAACCAGCACCCTCATTCATTCCTTTCACAAATTCTTACACAAATATCAAAATTCACAATAAAATCTCAACCCGTATTTTACATTGTTATCAAATTCTCAATAGTTTGATCGTGAAATGCATAAATCCACTTATTCAATAGTTAAAAGAAAAAGATGTAAATGTTAGTTTTGTAAATAGTAAAATTTTGAGTGCTATGCATGTAGTTATCCCTTCAAAAAATTCTCTTATTCATCTAATTTAACATGTACAATAATATCTACTAAAGTTTTTTCAAAGAATATTTTATCTTTCTAAAAATTAAGATATATATATATATTTATATATATATGAATTCCTTATTTGCTAGTGTAGGAGGTGTTTGTAGAGATTTTTTGGGCTATATTATTTGTTGGTTCTCGGCTAGTGCTTTTTCTACTTCCCCTCTTGTGGTTGAAAGTGATGCTTTAGTTTTTGCTCTACCGATGATTGTGAAGTTTGGTTGGAAATACATTATTATTGAAACTGGCTCTTTGATTCGTTGGAAGTGTTGTAATTGCATATTGATTATCATTGGAGCATCAATAATCAGATGAAAATGATTTTTGCAGTTTCCAAGAATTTGATTATTAACTGATCTCATATTAGGAGAGAATGTAATATGGTTGCTCATTGGGCGGCTAAATCTGGCTTGAAGATGCATTGCGCTATGATTTCTAAGTGTGTTCCACCTGTTCTGATGGATTTAGTTTTGAAAGATATTGTTTGTTAGCTTTTATTTTTGTTTTGTGTTTTGTTTTTTTATGTTATGTGTTTTCCTTTTTTTGGGGAAGAAGACCTTTAGTTTTTTAATTTTTTTGTCTTTTGAGTGTATTGTAATGTGAGTGTTTTTGGTCATTTTCCTCTTTTTTGTAACTCTTTTTTGTGATAAATGCATAAGGAGCCGAATAATGCTCTTTCACTATATATATATATATCATATGATTTCTATGCATTTAAATGCTTAACATCTAAATATTGATATTACATTTATAACATTGAATTGTCATGGAGTAATTCACATCATCCATTGCTTTCCCTTTTTTCTTAGTATTTATAGATAAATTTACTTATATCACTTTAATGTCATAAACCTATGGATAAAAACATATATTTCACTTTTAAATGTTATTAATTATGGTATTTTTTGAAATGTTGTTATAGATTTGAACGTTATGTATTTAAAATTGAAATTTTAAGATGTAGATATGTAAATACATTAAAAATGCGCGGCAAGGATTTAAATGCGCCTATAAATAATATGTGCACTAGTATATACCAACATTTAATAACAAGTAATTGTAAGCATGTCTAAGTATTACATAGAATCCCTTCTAATATGAATAAAGTTACAAATAAGACATCACACAAGGCATAGAGACATGTCCATAGCAAAGGCCATACATGTAATTGACAACTAATAAGGATCCATAGTATAATCTTACCACTCAATATTAAGACATCATTGCTTATATTTCTACGCAAGGTGAAACACCTCAGTATCATAATAATGCAAATGGAGTTTTGCATTTCAATCATCCAAAATATTAAATATAACATTTTAAATACCAAAACTTTAAATATAGCATTTTAAACACATTTTCCATTACAACCACCCTCCTAAGCCAACACCTCAGACATAATAGTGTATCTTTTCATACAATACAAAAATAATTATTCTTCACACATATTTGAAAAGATCTATGATGTATTTTCTCTAAGAATTTGACATTAGCAAGATTGTATTTTGATAGTTTTCCCCCATAATGCTCTTTGGGTCACATCATTATGTGCACGCTCAACTTTAGATGCTCTTTATCACTTAATTCAACTTCAAGTCAGTTGTCCTCTTGAATGAGCCAAGAATCAAATCTCTTGGCGAGCGAATGGGAGACCTTAACGAAATTTCACTCTCAGATCACCAAAAATAAACAATTAAGCATAAGTCATTATTTAATTAGCTAAACTAATACAATTTAATCAGCTTGGCGAATGATTTGACCTTTCATCCTGAATTTGTGCTCGACAACTAGTACTTAGCAACTCATCAACTCATAAACTCGGCAACTAATACTCGATAACATGGCAACTCATTAGTGTAATGTAGTAGGTCAACAGGGTTACCCAATAGGGCAAAGCGACAAACTGACTTAGGGTTATACACACAACTCATCAAACCTAATTATATATAGATAATTCAAAACATGTGTGATTCAATAATGAAATCCTTTAAATGATATTGTAGCACACATAAAAATGCATCATAAAAACATGCTGGGAACAAATATTATTACTTACACTAATAAGATTAGTGGATTGAATAGCTTTGGCTCTTTTTTGGGTCAATTTGAGACCCTTCGAGGTAGAAAATCAGAGTATATCATCAACAATTGTCAACAATTAAGCCTGCAGATGACTGGCCTTATTTAAGAAGGCTTATGACACTCTGGCTTCTATTATCAAAATTACTTATAAGTTCCTTTTTTAAAATAAGTTTTTTAAATAAATTTACAAAAAAACCCACACTTTTATGAAGAAGAGTGTCAAATTAGTCTCATAACTCCAAGACGGGTGATTTTCATCTCATTGTTTATAAAACTATCATATTAGTCCTCATACTATTTCCATAGGGTCTAAAATAGTCCTAATCGGGGATTATTTCAACCAATATTAAAACAACTCGATGATCAAATTAACACTTTCATAAATTTTGGGACCAAGGCAACTCCCTAAGAGTATGGGACCATTTTGACACTTTTCTCCATTTTATGCATAGTTTTATAAGTCTACATTTCAGTGTTAGATATGTAAATACATAAGAATTATTTGGTATGCATGTAAATTTCCCGAAAGATAATCTAATAAATGGAAGTGAAGCTATGACCTTCAAGGGATAACATCAATGATTTCCGACCTTCAATGATTGATCGCAATTTATCGTGCCATCATTGTGGAGCAGGAACAACTAAAAAAAAAAACCCTAATGGCAGCCCTTTCACTCTGATCTCACTCATTTTTTGTAAAACTTGACTTGCCCCAAATTGGCCACACAACAACTTACCCCTTGCTCAAAAAAAAGCTTTGGCCAAGCACATAGACATCAGGTCCAACAGAATAAGGGTCTGTTTGGGGCAGCTTGTGCGTTTCATGATAAACTGCTTATCCTGAAACGCGGCCCGCGGGCCGGCCGCAAGGGCCGACTCACGGTCTGCGTGTCTGCGTTTAGTGTAAAAATTCAAACGCAGTTTCGTATAAGCTGGCGAAACACACGAACCAAACAGTATCAAACGGACCCTAAATTAGCAGTTTCAAGAAAACAAGAAGCTTTTTACAAAGGCCAGATAAAAAAAATTCATACCAGAGCTTTTATAAGATTGGATTCCTCCAGAAAACTAGTAAGCAGCAACAACATAGTAGTTTGTAGTAAACCTACAGAGACTCTCTCAGCCAAAGCAAAAGGATTACTAATAATCCACTTAATATTAAGGCATTGAAACTTTAATATACCAAAAATCTGCAGTCTAAGCAAAGATGGCCGATCTTACTACAATAAAGCTCGACCAAGAAATTATTGGGAGACCACAAATTAAGGAATAGAATCACCATCCTCAAACAACATTCGACATAAATCAGCTGTGGAAACGAGTTTAAGATACGATTTAACCGGTTGGAGCTCAGTGGAACGATTTGCGAGATTTGTCGGGCAACACATTGTCGGGAAGAACAAGTTCGGTGGGAACTTCACGGACGACTCCGAGCATCGAGTCGTATTCCTCGTCGCCTCGGGAAAACTTCTTGCGCATCAACTTCTCGAACTCTATCTCTTCGAAAGGTTTGGCATTCTCGACAGCGTGCACTTTGGCCAAGTTTTTGTAGTTCGCTGCTGATTGGGAAATAAAGGCTATTTCTTCTTCTGTTAACTTCCTAAGGAACCTGGCTGGGTTTCCTGCCCACACCTGTGATGTACTTTTTTAAATTTCACACTAAATGCATGGGCCTTCAAAAAAAGTTATGAAAGATTTTAATAAGAACCACTCAATTCATGGGTATTTCACTTTTTGAAGGTTTAAATGATGGTGTTTTGAAGTGATATAAAGATTATGAATGTTGAAAGTAAAGTTTAGGTGTTAGATATGTACATGCATAGGAATTGGGTGGTATATATGTAAATGACCCAAGAATTATAAAGCATGACTCCAAGAATCTAACAGATTGATAAATTCGAGTATCCTTACAATCTTGTGAAATGGATATAGAGAGAAAAATGATTCTTTATCTAAAAGAGTGTTTAAGTGAATGAAATTCCGGCGAAGACGAAGAACGGTAGGATTACCTCCCCGCAAGGAATTTTAGTGCTTTGCCTCACTAGAGCTCCTGCAGCAACCATTCCATTCTTCTCTACCACCACACCATCAAGCAGGGTTGCACCCATACCAACAAAAGCCTCATCTTCAACAGTACATCCATGTAGGACTGCACTATGCCCTACAAAAAACAATGCTTAAAAACAAGGAACTTTGCAGATAGGTGCATTCATTATTTCAATTTAAACAGTTACCGACGTGAAGTGGAAAAAAAAACAGAAAATTATGGGGGATATTCTGACTGAATATTCACGGATGGCCTTACAACATTAACATGGCAATTTTTTAAGGCATTTAATAGGGGCATTTACAAAAATACCACACAATTCTAATGTATTTACATATCTAACAGCCAAATTTTCAATTTACAGGAATAACACTCAAAACTATAACATCACATTAGAGACACCACTAATACTAACTTTTTAAAAATGAAATACACATTTTCATGCAATTAAATTTTAGGTTTGAGATATATAAAATTATGTGAAATGTCTGCAAATTACTCTTTATTCTATTGATTACATATAAATATTTTAATATTTTAGTGCGTCACCATGCATCTCAAAGCAAATATCTTTATTATTCTCGTACTACTCTGTAAATTAAAATCACATAATTTCATGCTATTCAGATTTAATAGAAGTATAACATGTCAAATTTTCAGCCTATGCTAATCAAAATTGTGTGAGATATCCTGAACTATTTTTTTCTAAAAACAAAAGCATGTAATTCAATGGATTGTGGAGGACTCAACTCAATAGCATGCATCTCCAAACCCATAAAAATGAGGTCAAAAAATGTGTTTTTAGACTTTAAAAAGAGGGAGGGAACTTTAGGCGTAACTGCAACATAAATTGAAGTAAAAATAAATATTATATGGTCTGATGAGAAGTTAAGGAGTTCATATCAATGAATTTAATTATCTCATCGATGTTTAATCACATTACTCACCTACAGTAACATTATCTCCAATGATAGTTGGCAAGACTTTTCCACTTAAATTAGATTTTGCCACATGTACAAGAGAGTTGTCCTGAATGTTAGTTCCAGATCCAATCCTGATTCTGTTAACATCACCTAAAAAAAGAACAAAACAAACTAAATGATGGCATGGTGCTCAGTAAAACACAATCACTTATATTTACAACAAATTTCATTTCCTCGATACAATTGGAAATAAGAATGAAGAACAGTAGATTTCACATACACTTATACACATGCGAAAAAGCTCAATTACATGCAAGTGATTTGCTTAAAAAAAGAAATAGACTTCAAAGTCCTCGTATTAGAGACCTCTAGAATTTCCATTGTTAGATCGAGAAAATATTATTCTCATAAAAGTTCCCCTAATGCAAAAGCAGATTTTGCCTAGCTATGAAAATTTTGATAAAATGGACCTTGGCTTTGAGTTGACAATTAGGACCTTCACCTTTCATTCTAAGTTTGAGGCCTATGCATTAAAGGGGTGAGGAGGTTTAGAACCTTCAACAAAGGCTTTCATACATGGACAGAAATTTTAAAAGGAAGCCTTAACCCACTCTGATAATTTCAGCAACATAAAGCCTTTGCTAGCAAAAAGGTGTATGAATAAAAATTATAAAAGGAAGCCTTAACCCACTCTGATAATTTCAGCAACATAAAGCCTTTGCTAGCAAAAAGGTTTTCGTGTGTGTGTGTGTTCATTCGTCGCTGAAGCGATCTCAATAAGGAATGATGTTCTAAAATTTCTAACTACTAAAGAACGCTATCAAAGTGAATTGGATCCAAGTTACACAGGCACCAAACTAAATTATGAATGAAATGAATCAACCGTAACATCCAAGGGGCGCATAAACTTATTTTAATTGTAGGAAAAAGTGTACTTAGCATATGGATAGAATTTTAACCATTACTCCGTTTTTTGAAAAATATTTGAACTTTAAGAACTTCAAATACTCAAAATATAGCAAAATTAAGATTTTTTTTAAAGTAGTCCATCCTGATAAATATTTAGCACTTCCCTAAATATTGGGATTCTTTTTACATTTTAAGTTTTTTATAGTGTATTAATCATTTAATTTACCTTATTAGGCTTTAAATACTAAGAATTTTTTTGTAATTTAAAATTATTTGTCTTTGAATCTAGCAAAGATAGGATTAAATGCTTGAGCATGCCTACAATTTCATATGAAAGCAACAATATGGGGACACTTAGAGTTGTTAGGTTTCAATGTTGCTAAATATTTCAACATTAAATATATGAGAATTGTGCTGCATGTACGTCAATATAAAAGTTTATGTGAAATATCTAAAATTTCAGCAGCAGCTCTTAGATATTTACATATAACACAAACTTTAATATTGACATACATGCAACAAAAATTTTTGACATTACAACAAAAAAACCACTACTAAGTTTTTAAAAGTTAAAACAACATTTTGATGCATAAGTGTTAACACCTAAGTTTTATAATATCAGGCTTTAGGTGTTAGATATGTAATTACATAAGAATTAAATGGTATGTAGTTAAATTTCTTTTTTTTTTAATTTGAAAAGCATTTAACACATTCTTAATTGAAATCTAATCTAAATAATGGATACTTTTGTAAACCAATATAAACTATGTAACTACAAACTACCTTCATGGGTTTAATGTAATTTGAAATGCTTAAAATATCATGACCGACCAATTGCGTGTTAATGTAATTTGAAATGCTTAAAATATCATGACCGACCAATTGCGTGTTAGTGGAAAACCTGTAGTGTCAAGACATGGAAAACAGTGATGCATCAAACTAGCACATGGCTGCCACGTAGTACCATGTTGTATGTATGGGGCCCATATAACTTGGCCGTTATTGACGTGGACAGTAAGTACAGAACCAGCTCCTGCATAACTCAATAATCCTTATTGGGCAGCCCAATCAACACGCACACCGAGTCATGTGGATAGCCTACAAATGGCAACTAAAGTGTGGGGGACACATCTCACTTTTCCTAGGCTTAGTTGGCAACAATGAGCCTACTTATCACCTAAGAAGGAGAGCCCACCAAAAGGAGATAACTAATGCGCCTCGGTAAGAATATCATTGACACGGGGGTTTTCCTCCTTCCTCTTCCCTCCTTTCCTTTTACCCTTATTTCTTTGTTCTTACTTTTCATTCTAGGCCTTTTCTAATTCAAAAACTTTCATAAACCTGAAATCTGATTTTTATTCTCCTTACCAATTTAAAACCTTTCAGAAAACTGAAATTTGGTTTTTATACTCCAATTTAAAACATTTCCTAAAAATTGAAATCTGATTTTTATTCCCCTTCCTAATTTAAATCATTTCCTCAAATCTGAAATCTGAATTTATTTTCCTTCTTATTTTAGTGTTTCATAAGATAGGTTATGCCTCTTTATAAATAAGAAAGATTGTGCTTTGAATTAAGGGTTGTTTTATGATATCGGAATTCAGTTTTGTTTGAGTGTTTTTCCTCTTGAGGGTTGTATCTGATGTCGAGATAGCGCTCTGGTTGTCCCTCGTCGAAAGTGGTGATCGTCTCCAAGGGTCCGAGTGGTGCTCCAGTTGTATCTCGACTCCGCCAGAGGTATTTATCTTACCTTACTTTTGTTTCCTTGTTGTCCTACTTCTTCCACAACAGCTCCACCACTCTAACTTTTCCCCAAATGCCTCCAGCCCACCTTCCAGTCTCAAACCGGTTGTCCAGCCCAACAGCCAACTGTTCTGCAGCCAAATATGTCGCCCAACACACCATCTTTGTTGCTGCCACCCCTGCTAGCCACACCAATCCACTTAGCCAAACTACACCACCCCTAGGCTACACTTTTGAGGTGTTTGTTCGTGTTTTTTCATGTTTTATTAATGTTATTTTCAGTTTGTGTGTTGTAATCCTATTTCTCCATTAATAAAAGTTGTTTTTGTGGTTTGGGCTTCTTTTTCGGTGTCTTCTGATATCAGAACTAGCCCAACCCTAGTCATATCCTAGGTTTCCTAGCATCGGACTTACCCCCCACAGGAAAAATTTTTTTTCTACCTTGAACCACCCATTCAAAATCAGCAATCCCAAATCAAATTTTATACACCTTCATATAGTCTTATGCACCATTTTTTCACCTCCCAACCCTAAACCTTAGCCATGCCACTAATGTGATGTATGCCCGAGCCTACTCAAAACAAGATACAGCGAGAGCTCCACCATCTTCAGCGAAGACATCAGAATGTTGAAAAGAAAATCAAGCGAGAGGTTACTCTCGACTGTTATCTAGAAGGTCAAAAGAAAGAATGAGAAGAAGTGAAGATGAAGCGAGAAACACAACGTTAACTCCTACCAACGTATTATCGCCAAAAGTTACAGCTCCAAGATTCTAAAATGGAGAGAATAGAGCACTAAGTGACCCCGCCTGCCTACTAGCTAGTGAAACCAATCTGCAAGCATATCACAACCAGAAAAAGTTACAAGTGTTACGGATTCGGGCATGTGTAATAAAAATGCACAACCAGAGGAGAGATTTGTTTTACTGAGCGTGAAGTTGTTGAAAAATTGTGCAATGACACGGTTAATAAGGGAGAATTTGACTTCTGGGAGGATTCTCCACTTGCAGCTAGCAAGAAAGAGACACTACCAATTCCAGTGGATCACGAGATAGAGATTCCAGCTGAGGTTGTAGCAGCCATTCTGGAAGGTAGTGACCTCGATGTAATGAGCATTTAAGCAGAGTATGAAACTGTGGTACCTCCAGATACTGTTTCATAGAAGTTGAGAGGAGCTACAGCACCTTGGAGGTCCAGAAGGATCACGAGCTTGAGGGATCGACATCTAATACAGGGCCACGAAAGATACAAGAAATACAAATTTTTCAGATGGTTAGACCTCTTTCGAAGTTATCCCGACGGGGGGAAGTCAAACATGTCCAAAGAGGAGTCATTTTGTGCTATGTCGGAAATATTATAGGAAATTATTCAGAGGTTATTTTCAATCAAGCATGGTACCCATCGTCAGATGTCCTGACAAAAGAGGTGAATCCCAACTTTGTAGTGGGCCCAAAGAGCATGATGGGGACGAAAATTCTGCAGGGGTCCAGGTCCTATTTATGGGGAGGACTCACCTGAGGGGGTGCTAGTGAGAGCAGCGCAGCTTGCCACAAATTTCATCCTAAAATTGAGTTATCCTAACATGCATATTACTCTACCACCGCACACTAGGCACGAGAAGTGGATGGAGAAGATTTCAAATGTAAGGGCTCAAAAGTTGAATTACGGGAACCCCCTTTTATATGCAGCTCCCGCTCAGGATGTGCTAAATGAGGATTGCTACCTATTCTACCATAATGCATTGAGGAATGGCTACATCGACATGATTGACCGACCAGAAGACTTATCGTCGTACCATGAGGATCCAAAAGCTTCGACGAATTAGGTCGAAGCTATCCAACCCCGAGAGAATGACACGGGGGTTTTCCTCATTCCTCTTCTCTCCTTTCATTTTACCTCATTTCCTTTCTTTCCTTTCTTACTTTCCTTTCTAGGCCATTTCTAATTTAAAACCTTTCATAAAGCTGAAATATGATTTTTATTCTTCTTCCTAATTTAAAACAATTCTTAAAAACTGAAATCTAATTTTTATTCTCCTTCCTGATTTAAATCATTTCCTCAAATCTAAAATCTAACTTTATTCTCTTCTTTTAGTGTTTCCTAAGATAAGTTACGTCTCTTTATAAATAGAAGAGGTTGTACTTTGAGTTAGGGGTTGTTTTATGAAATCTAAATTCAATTTTGTTTGTGTGTTTTCCCTCTTGAGGGTTGAATCCGATATCGATGTAGTGCTCCAGATGTCCCTCATCTGAGGTGATCATCGTCTCCAAGGATTCGAAAGGTGCTATGGCTGTATCTCGACTCCGCCGAGGCATTTATCTTATCATACTTCTATTTCTCTGTTGTCTTATTTCCACAGCAACTCCACCACTCCGACCCTTCCCCAGCGCCCTGCAGCCCACCTTCCAGCCCCAAACTCGTGGTCCAACACCTCCTAACCGATAGTCCAACCCCGCAGCCCACTGTTCTACAACCAAATTTGCGCTACCGCTACCCTAG